CGCAGCCGCAGACGTGCTGCACGCCGCACTCGCCCGGGACCCTGATGATGTGGTGGCGCTCGCACTCCTCGATGCTGTGGTGGATAGACTGGATGCAGCGCTCACTGGTAACTTTAATGTTTTACAGTAAAACTGATAATTGTTAGTCCATACTTAATTTTATAACGTGGAAAATTTGTATGTAACAAAAAAAATTCACAAACTCTTGGACCGACTACAATAATTCTATTATCTAATGAAAACTGCATTATCAACGAATAACATAGACTATCTTTATTATTGGATTTGTTTAATTCTGCGCGCGAAAATTCGTGGGCAAAATCAAGTTACATTACAGTGCTAATTTGTTCATGTTTTTTCAACAGACGAAGAAATCCCCCAGTTCCCGTTCCCCACGGTGAACCTGTCGCTGGGGACGCCCCACACGCCCCACACACCCCACACTCCAGGCGCGCACACCCCGCACACGCCCCACGCCGACGCCACCAACACATCAGATATGAGCATGAGTTTCGACTGAATATAAATACATAATAAAATATTAATTTGGACTTATCTTTTTATACCTAATTATTTCCCAATAAATGTTTATAATTAACTGCATTTCATTTGAAATACGCTAAAAAATCGTAATAATTTTTCACAAAACCCCAATTAAATTAAGCTTCATATTTATCTTTGGGTGAATAAAACGCAGTATCTGAATCGAATTATATTTATTTACGTATTTACATAAAAAATCACATATTTACATATTTTACAATGTAATAATATCAGTCTTAACACGTTCAGTGTCACTTGCTTACCTGTCGAGTTCACAGTACCGAAATAGTGGCATTGAACGTGTTAATAGTGAACCCTGGAATTGATTACAAACTTAATATATTAATCGAAGCTGGATTAGCGAGAGCCCAAGAGACAGCGATTTTTCTAGCTTACGAAGGTCGTCCGTTGAAATCAAAGACTCGCTTATTGAGGTTTCTTACTTATCAAAGTAAGACTGTATTTGAACTCTGTTTATTAGTTCCATACTACCGTGGTAGTAAACGTTTTCCATTATAATGCATAACAAGCCCAAATACAGCGGACACGGTGGCGAGAGTGGAAACCTGCGTGGTGGATAGGGCTCCGCCCCACAACCAGCCACGCGGCAACCAGCTGACTGCATGCAGCACGTCCAGCAGCAACTTGGACGTGGTTAGCGAAGCCTGCGTGAACCTTACACCTGTACACTTCGGTCTGTTGGGAGACTTCATGATCTGAGCAGTTAAATGTAACGCGCGAAGAGATCTGTGGAAGAAAGTTTCCCGTTTAACGCTACTTTGATTTAATCGATACAACATTATTCCAATTTTTTCTTCTGTTCTCATCATCAAAAAAAACTTAAATAATCAGCAATATTCTGAAAATAAAATGTTTTAAATTATTATAAAATGCATATCCATAGATAAAGAGTGAAGAAAGAGCAGATGAAGATATGATTTGTGAAGTCTGTTCCCACAAAATGCAAACTACTCATTGGGGTATTTGAAGTATTAACTAGACTCTTATTTTAGTCTACAAAATTAGAAGTGTACACGAATTGACAAATTAAAGGTTCACGCTCACCTAAAGAGTGCAACAAACGCCGACAATGACCAGAACAGTTTGTGCGCGATGCGTATCTTCTCATCAAGCTCTGGAGACAGTGTGAGCACACCGGTGTCCAGCAGCCAAACTAACTTCTCGCACTGCAGGTATGACAGTTGAAGCACACCGTTACTAACGCCTAAACCGCCCCACAGTAAGCCATCCTGGAAGAAAAGAGTGTGTTTAGACAAATGTAAGCTACATCAGCGGGGCTAGACAAAGCGCATTCGCTTCGTAGCGATTCCATAGCGAAGTTAAAAAATGTACGGAACTGACGCCCGACAATCCGGAACTTATCGAAAGTTATTGTCAGTTCTATACATTTTTGACGTACGTTATGGAATCGCTTCGAAGCGAATGCATTTTGTCTAGCCCCTCTGTATGATAATATGATATAAGATAGGTGACTTTAAATAGGCTCCTGAGCCGATATACCAGGATCATATAGCCTATTTAAAGAGGATTCACACATCGCATCAGAACTCATGACAATGTAGGTCAAAGCTCTTAGAATTGTTCAACAATGGAGTCAAAGGGTTCTAAGAAATGCTAGTAAAGAATGTGTAATAGCTAAATTTTTACTTACTTGTTTGCCTAATCCATATTTGAGTAGCGCTCTGATGGCGGCTGCATCATCGAACAGCCGCAAGGTGGCGCGCGCGGCAGCAATGCGCGCGCTCGCTGTTAGCAATGGCTGATTCTTGGATGTTGCTCCCCATAGCTTTAATGTGTAACTCACGAGGGAAACAACCTGTTTGTGAATACTTTTGTATCAAATAAGCTACGAGATATTCAATGCCTCATACGTGATTGTTGAAGAGTTTAAGATTTGAGGGCCGATGTGATGAACTAGAAATGAGTTTCATAAATTCGACGAAAGAACTTTCATCAAAAATCGGATCATACATCGTGACAGTAACAGGTTTATAAATTATTCAGTCTATTTTAAAAGAAAATTTTGAGTCGCATATAACCTCGTGACATGATACCATTTCCATTCTACTTTATTTCTATAAATGAGGTTTAAATCATATTGGGTTTCAATTTCCATATGAACTCTTTACCATGCAGGTAGTAAAAGTTGTAGGTTTCCTTGTGCTCTAAATCGAACCCGAGACTACACACGAGTGCGTTAAAATCGAGCAATCTATGATTATAACATTTGTGTTGAAACGAATAAATTATTTGCGTAATATAACTATTTAGCTCTATATTACTAGTTAGGTGATATTAGACATCTAATAATTACGGTACGCCTTTAAAAGCTTACCTTGTCACGATTAGCGTGGGTTTCCAATAAACAGCATACTTCATCAACCGCCCCCATGTTGTGCAGTGTACATCGACTGTTTGTTACAGTTAATATCTACATCAATAACATGGCGTACTTGCTTACATTTTTATCCTATCTTATATAGATAAGATATATAATATTCAGATAGGATAATAAATTCCAACGTAGAAATTATTCGGCACTAAAACATTCGATTTTTAAAATATTAAAGATCATCCAAAGTTATATATACTAAAAAATTGAAATGTCTGTATGTAACTAAAATTAAAAGTAGCTTTAAAATTTTTGTCTGTATCTCTCATCTAGGCCTTTTAAGTTAAAGGAATTTTGAATTAATATTTTAATGTCTCACGAAAATTTTACACACCGTTGATTTCTAAGACCAAAATCTTTGTATAAAACATATCGTAATCCCTGTCATTATCATTGAAAAAACAGAGACAGCAATATGTTTTAAACGGAGGTTTTGGGCACAGAAACTCACGGTTAATTGGTTATGGTTAAAATCGAAATGTATACAACGTCAATTTATTATCACTAAAAAGTTAATTATCATTCTATCATTTGGCATTTAATCCGATAAATTGATAATGAAGGAAAGTATTTTACTGTGTGGTCATATTATAATCAAACATTTCTTACTTAACTTTGATATTAATGCCCTCATTTGTCCGATTATTTCCTTCACCATAAACGCGTGGGCGTTACTAAGACATCAAGTTTACCATTTTTTTAAGAGGGGGAATGCGTTATGCATACCGGGTGCCTCGTGGAAAGCCACTCCGGTTATGTGGGACTCTCTCCACATCCCTTAAGGGACAAGGAGCCTACCCACTAAACCCCCTCTGGTTCCCTCGACTCACTGTTTACCGGGGTGTGGGCACATGTGAATACTTTTCGCACACACCGGTCGGTGACTGGTTTTGAGCCTCCACACTAGTACATCAAGTTTACCATAGGTTTCCACAGCCGAAACAAATGTACAGTCAGCGTCATATAGATCGTCACAGACAAGATATGCAAATATATAGGTACATCAAAAGTAATCAATTATATCGGTACAACAAAAGTCCTCAAAATAATAGATACATTCACCCTGCTCAAAAACATCGGTACATACACAGCGTCAAATATATGAGTACATGCAAGATGCTCATAAATATCGTAGCAGCCACAGCGTCATAAGTAACGAAGCAGTCAAGGTGCGCAAAAATATCGGTACATTTGACAAAATTGAACTCTATCTCTATATACTTGTGATACAATTTGGAATAAACTACTTCTGTTACATTCATTTGACACTTTGCATCAAACCATTTTTCAAAATTTACTAAAAGTGTTCGACGCGGATGACAGATATTAGGTAGATAAAACCAACATCAAATTTAAGTTTGTCATCATATATGCTAGTTTGGTCTCGTGGCCTTACCGTTCGCCGCCGTTGGTACGTAAGGTCGGCGGTTCAAATCCCAAGCCACTATTTTTTTTTTTTGATATTTAAACTTTTTAATTTTAATATCGAAGCACATGTAATTAAACTCTATCGCCGTAGTTATTAGGTACTTTTTGATATTGCCTTGGACTAATGAGTTTGACCGTTAAAGTACTTTTCTATTTCAAACAAAAATGAAGGAGATAAAGCGATGCTATTGGCATGTAATTTGTTTATTACTCATGTTTGTTAAACTTGTACCGGTAATAATAACACTTTTACTTTTACCTTTTACTGATACTGATTATATTTAAGAAACAAAGAAAAAAAACTGAATGTCAATGTCCAAACTACATCAAATTTTTGGTCGAATGCAATAAACATTCCAGTGTGCGTGGGCGCGCACACATATGTAGATAACACTTGTACGTATAGTTTCCGCGCATACCATTCTTAAAACCCGCAAAAACAATCCACGCTCCGCCCACTCACTTCACCCGCGATGGTCTAACCTAATTGTTGTTAACTTTATTTAAATTTCTTTCTACCCGACAGTGAAAATTATAAAAAAAAATGTCGAGCAAAATTTTACATTACCAAATTTTTCATTATGAAATATATAATTATTCTAGTTATGAAAAAATAACCCCGTGATTGATAAAATAATAAAAAAAGAAGCCTGAGATTCGAACCGGTAAACTTATTAAACATATTACGGCAAACATACTAGAATACTGCGCCAAACTAGTATATATTGTGACAAGGCAAAATTTGATATTAGTTATTACGTATCTGTCATATTCGGCGTGACAAACTTTTATAATATATTTAAGCGTTATGACAGGAGAAGAAAAATATTGGGTTGCCCAGTAAATTCGTGCCGCTTTATAAGGAAAATTGAAACCCTGTTCTCTTAAATTTTTACCTAAAACGTCTTTTATTTTTGGCTAAAATTTTAAAAATTAGTTTTTATCTCAACCAATGAAATGAAATTATTCACAACATATAAATTTTTGTGACGTTTGATAATGGTGGAAATCCGAAAATGAATCCACTTCAGCTACAGTCTATTTTAAGCTTCCTATCGAAAATCGGAACGAACTTTCCGGACAACCTATAATGTTAATACAAAGTGTCAAATGAATGTAACAGAAGTAGTTTATTCCAAATTGTATCACAAGTATATAGAGATAGAGTTCAATTTTGTCAAATGTACCGATATTTTTGCGCACCTTGACTGCTTCGTTACTTATGACGCTGTGGCTGCTACGATATTTATGAGCATCTTGCATGTACTCATATATTTGACGCTGTGTATGTACCGATGTTTTTGAGCAGGGTGAATGTATCTATTATTTTGAGGACTTTTGTTGTACCGATATAATTGATTACTTTTGATGTACCTATATATTTGCATATCTTGTCTGTGACGATCTATATGACGCTGACTGTACATACTGTACTCTATATTTATTTGAGAGAGTGCGAGCAAGGACAATCGTTCTGTATATTTGTGTCGGCCGTAGTTAACTTTTAATCAATCGTAAGGTCCTAAATAAAAGAAATCATATTAATATACAATTATTTTATTTTATTTGTGATGTCATTTAAAAATAACAAATTTTATACATTATTCACTTATACAACAAAAATAAACTCTGTTAATCTCTTAGGGTAAATAAAACCATGAGTTTCCACCGACGAAATATTGTTATCTCTGTTATTTTCAGAAAGAACGAGACTCAAGAATTAGCAGAAGGCTTACTTAATACAAAAAAAATTCAAACTAAAAATCGAACGTTTAATTTTTATTTAATTTCTTTCAATTGTTTATTTAGTAAAATGTCCATATTTACATAATAAAGCGTAAACCCTTTTTTACTATGTAGGATGTCAGCAAACACAACATATTTTTGAATATATTTTCACGCTATTAAACTTAAGGCTGAATAAAATGGAAATATTGCTTGGCGAGAAACAGACAAAAATTGCTAGCAAATAGCAGCAGAGATGGATGGTTACCATGGTAACGGTAATCCTCAGCCAATGGCAAAAGACACATACGGAATCTCTTTATATTTTTCACTTTTTATTTTCATATTTAGAACATTATGTATTATTTCTTCCTGTTTGCTATTCAAAATTGCAGATGTAAATATATCATCAAACAAACAGTGCGTGTTAAACTTATTTCCTTACTTTATTTTACAATATTTTCATTTTCTCTTTTGGAAGATGTCAAGAATTAGCAAAAAGATTAAAAAAAATATTTAAACCAAAAATAGAACGTTTTATTTTTAATGTCTTTTGAAGACTCTTCTTGTCTCTACAAAAGAAGTGTTTCTTTTAGTTATAATTTCATAGCTAATTTTCAACAAAGAGACGATAATATTCTTTTGTATGTTCATTTTCCTTGAGAACTCAGGATTATATTTTAGAATGCCGAACATCAAACTCCTTCCTTAGAGAATGTTTTAAGGTTTCCTGATTTGAGGTACAATTTAATTGAAAGAGAATTATAAAACCCAGGTTGAACACAGATTTGTGTGTAATATTAACTTTTGAATTTTATAACATTTAATAGAATGGTCCAAATATCTACATTTTCTAACCGTACGTTTCCGAGACTCTATCAAAACATATCTGCATTCCTGCACTTATCTTCGATTAAACAGAGATAACAATATATTTTAAACGGGGATTTTGGTCTCAGAAACTCATGGTAAATAACCATGTAAATTATATCGTGCAAAACTACTCCCCGACTTCACAATTTGTCCAGGCAAATTACAAACACATTCACAATTGGCGACATATAAAAAAATAACGACATAGAATTACTGCATTGATAGTAAGTACACTTAAGGCCATCACAACTTGCTTGAGGTAATCGCATTTATTATCTCGCGTTATTAGAAAGTAACAAATCCCTTTACACAACCCTTTATATAAATCTAAAGGACACCCAACTTTACCATATGTTCACACTGCCGATACATCTACATAAACATGACACAATTTAATCTAATCAATATTTGTATTATCATAAAACATGTTTTTATACTTACCGTAAATTTTAACTTTGACAGATGTATAAAACATTATCTCTGTTTACGATAATAATTAAAGGGACGGCAATACTGTATTAAAAAAAATTGTTAGGACAGTGGACTTACCGTAAGTGGAAGAAATACGATGAAACCAGAATAACCTCTCTACAAGTCTCTTAGACTTTCGTTTAACAAAGTTTGAAACTACTTATTAACTGTGGCAGTATGAACGGAATATTACATTACGTTACAATATTTGTACGAATTTACTATTTTATCAATCGTTTCCTTGCGAAGTACAACGCGATACCTATAACAGAGGAGGTGGTTGCGATTGCTGCGACTTTCGTAGGCCCTATCCTCTCCCCCCACAGCCAGCCGGGGGGTAAGCAGCTGACAGCATGAGCTATATCCAGACAGAGTTTCCCTGCGGTAACTGCACCCAGGGTCAGCCTCACATCTAAGTTCTTACGTGCGTCCACACCACCGTTCTCTGAACATGTTTGTAGACAATCTCTACTCCACCACAGATGGCGTAGAGAGCGTAGTGTCCTGTGAATAAATTAAATTTATAAAATAGGAATAGGGGATTGTTGTTTCCGTATCCTTCGTTTCGATCCAAAGACAAAATTAAGTAAACAAAGAAACGTTAAATCCCCACATGGCGTCCATTGCAATATTTTTCTTTTTTTTTAATCATTTCGTGAAAATGATGAGTTAAAAGATATTAATGTAGTTTAATAAGGACAGGTAATGTATGTGAGAAAAAATGTTTTACATTAAACATTTTGGAATTCACAAAATTTATGGTTATAGTCTATGGTTAGATTTATTATTTGGTATAGATAAAAAAAAACTTACTGTAGCAAGGATATATATAGACTCGCCGCCCAGAGCGCGGTGCTGACTACCTCTAGCCTATCAGCAGTTTTAGTGGACAGCTTGAGGATGCCCACCTCGTGCAGCCAACAAGCCTTCTCCACCGGGAGAAATGCTTGGTCCACCATGTTAGCTAGTACCCCTAGCAATGCTGCCATCTTTGATGACTCCTGTGTAATGTTTAAAGTGTATTTATTTTCAAATCACCAAAAAAAAAAAACAGCTTTTAAACCAAAAATATGACATCATACATCTTGATTTTTGGATAATGATTGTTAATTGATACGGTGAAGGAAAACATCGTGATGCAACCTACACATATCTGAGAAGAAATTCAAAGATATGTGTGAAGTCAACCAACCCGCACTTGGCCAGCGTGGATGACTATGGCCTAATCACCCTTAACTTAGGGTAGGCTCCGAGCCCCTCGGTGGGGACGTATAGTGAGCTGATGATGATTGTTAATTTTGTATAAGACTATCTTTAGACAGAAATAGAAGATAAATAGAATGTAACTTAAAACGGTAATATCAATAACATTTGAAAGTATTTTTTTTAACAACATACCTCTTTAATAAATGAAAATTTAAAAAAAAAATCATGTAAATAATATTCTGTCTCAAGTATCAATGCTATTATATTACATTCATGTGACAAAACATTCAACAAGGACATTTTATAATGAAATGGAAATAGGAACTGATACTGTATAGACATATATGTAATTAGCAACTTTGGTACATGGTCATGAGGAAGTTACAAACATTTTAATATCACATGAACTATTAATCTTTGACTAATAGACTGAGAAACTATGAAACACTTTTAGTACTACAGTATAATCTCACTAATCTGGCACTATTAAAAACTGGAGGGTGCGGAGATTACTGGATTATAGTGAAAGTCTTAGGCAATGTAAATATTATTATTCAAATCCAGTGTCTTGTTCGCGTTTATTTGTCATTTTTAACTATAAACTATTCTCACTTGAAAAAATATGTTTTGAGATTAGACTGGTAGTCAACGCACACAGGTATAGAGTGGCGAGGGAGGTGTGGGCAGAGGGTGCCAGATTATTGGACATGCTGATTTATCAAGTGCCAGATTAGTGAGATTATACTGTAATCAGAAATGCTTCATACTTCCTACACAATCATATTTTTGTGAACAAGTAGTAACTTACATGCTTTCCTAGGCCATAGTTATATGTATGTCGTATCATAGGTATATCATCGAAGAGTCGCAGCATCATCCTTGCGTTGGAGAGCCGGGAACCTGCCGTCTGCCATGGCTGCTCTCCTTTGATACATCCGTATAGTTTGAAGGCATAGCATGTTAAACGAACCACCTATGGTTTAAAAAAATTAAACTTTTTAAAGTCTCTTTCCAATATCAGTAATTTATAATTAAGTACAGGTTCAGGTATTAGAAATCTGAAGATATTACAGAGATAAATAAAAAAGCTGCAATAAGCCATTTAAATGCACGTACAACTTAATATTATCTTTAATTAATTATTAAATATCATTCGTTAGGTTAGCGATATTTTGTACAGGTTATTGACTGGAACGACAAGAATTTTTTTATAAATATCAAGGCTAAATAATTTCCGCATACTTTACCTTGTCTCTTCCATTGTAACTATCCAAAAGTTCGCAAATATCTTCGACAATCGAAGACATTTTAGTAAAAAAACAAGGTATTTGTCAACTAATTCACTGATAACTTATCTATAGTAGCGTCACAATCGTTTGGAAGCGAGGATTTATGTACGATACTATTTGATTATAACATTTCTCCATGCCGTGTGAAAAACTAGTGGACCTTGATTTCGAAAGGCGCTCTATCACAATCACAAAATTATAGATAAGTTGAAGTTGGACCTCATAACAGCTGTAATCTGACAGATCAGATGACGTATACGGTGACAATGACACTGACAAGTGATCAATGCCTCATAAAATCGTTGTAGATTTTAGGTATCGATTTTAAAAAATGTAACTTGCTGAAATAAGTTTTAAAACTTATTTAAAATTTTAAATATAATAATTTTTTCTTTTTAATACACTTTTAATTTGTTTAATAAGTTTTAATTCAATAACTACTTTGTGAGTTCGATGTGTATTTGTGGAAATCGATGCTTTATAATCTGTTTCTCAAAAATTTTCATTCGCCTGATTTCGAAATGTCATAACATTTCAATTTCAAGTTTTGGTCCAATATTAAATATAAAATAAATAACATCATTTGTTAACTTTTCCGAATATCTTATATATGAGCATAAGTATTTTTGATTTAAGAAAATGATCGAATTCTCTATAAATGATATCCCGGAATTTTCTAAAAAGGAGCGCATTGTTGTTGTCGGTGTTATTGGAAAATCTCCTTACCGGTATCATAACAAAACAACACCACTTTTACCGACAGCTAAATGTGAAGAGGTAACCGCTATATCAAGTTTAAAACATAAAACTTTCAAACCTATTCTCTATTTACCTGACTTCAATCTTAAGATTCACTTTTTCATTATAACTTGTCTAAACTGATCAGAGAAAGTTAATAAATCACAATCAAATGACATAAAAAATTATGGTTTTCAGAATGGAATTCAGTGCTTTTGGGATGAAAGAAAAGGTATACTTTACCTTCATGCAATAACCTACCTGGACACAAAAAGACTGGCAACACTTGTAGCTGATCTTGATGAAGATTCCAAATGCTCAGTGAAGGATGCCGATGCTGCTCACTGGCTGGTGGCAGCGGGAGAGCTGGCCATAGAGTCCTGCAGAGCTATGGCATTAATATTTCACCTTAGTCACATTGTAATACTATCCCTGCCTACACCAGTATTCGATCTAGGATATCTACAATTGTTTGAAGCTATTGACGGCTATAGGTAAATATTATAGTAAATATCTTATTAAATTTACTAATAACATTTAAATATTCAGTGCCACTCATTCTAGTGAGTTCACTTTCTAACATAAAAAAAAAATTGTAGTACCTAGTTACTATATAAATTACTTTATTAAAATTAAACTTTTAAATATAATGTAAAAGAAATAAAATCATTTTATTCGTGTTTATAAAACTTTTTTTTATTAATAATTAATTACTTATCAATTTATAATGTTGTCTCTCTTCACTAGAAATGAGTTACATCTCCAAACTAAAGCTGCGTTAACAGATGCTAAAATTGGTGGTACATGGGAGAGTCATGGGAGACCCTGTTGCCCTCGCCTGCTCTTCCATTTCCGTAGAGCTCCAGCACCATTACGTAAATCTCCAGCAGCTTTAAAGAGACTTGAACATTCTGTTGAAGATCAACTATATTTTATGTTAAGGAAAACTAGGATTATTACTAATGTATGGTAAGTTGTTTTATCTTATTGTGGGTTTCTGACATCCAAATAACAATTTAAAACATTTCTTTATCTCTGTTTTGTCAAATATGTCAAGGATGACTTTATACATTATATAGAGATTTACATCTCAGAAACCAATGGTAAATTAACTGACTACAGTTTACACAACACTAAACCACATACAATTATAATTATTGTCTAAATCAGTGATACCCAAACTCCCAGACAATGAGAGATGGAAGACCATATCTGAATGTATTATGGATACAAAGACTGAAGACCGTTTAGTTACTAGGAAATAATAGCCTGTATGTCATTTTGTCTAATTATTCAATTCCAGTGCGAAATCTGTCTTCGCTATACCCAAAAACGAAGAATTTGTATACATAAATACGGAGGAAGAAACCGGGTCTGCTCGCGATGTTAGCACTTTAGTACGTGGTTTAGTACAGATGTGCAATGGTACAGAACCGGAAACTACCAGTGAGAGACCTAGCTTCCGACAGTTTCTACAAGGACATATTGATTTAGCATTTGGAGAAGGTTTTGATGATAATGTCGGAAAATATGCTATGAGTACTTCATTTTTTGAGGTACGTATACATAAAAATTGTAATTTTAACATCTCTCTGGTTCAAATCCAAAAACAAATTGGTATAGGCTTTTTCAAATATCTTTATGGCTCAAGGTAATGTACACACTGCAAATTCCTGCTTACATTGAGTTCTGCGCATGACTCGTGCATTGTTCCGAGCTGCCATGATATGTTGCAATGTCTATAGTAGAAATTACAGATTATAAAAACAATTGTCATACATTTCTTCCGTTCCCGATTTTTTTTTGTATACAGTTGCCAAGTGCCACCTCATGGCGTAAAGCAGCTCAAGTTCTGACGCCCATATACCTTCAGAATGATAAGTGTGATGAAGAGAAGGAATCCGGCGGAGTGCTGTTTGATACCCTAGCTACTGATGTTAGATTCTCTCAGGCCAGGTGTGCCAAGGTACAATCTTCTATTTGTTGCATGATTTTTGTACATCCATAAATTGATTACATATTAAATGTCTTAATGCCAAGTTTACCTTATTCCAGTACAGTGATCGATTACAGTACTGGACTACAATTTGAAAAATGATAACACTGTAACTCATATAGTGCTTTTTATAACTTCTGAATAAATCTACTGCTGAAGATTATGTAAATCACACACTTTTATGTATAATATTATTTAGTCAACTAACTCATAACTTACAACACATTAGTTTTATACACTAAAGAAATATATAGTATTACAAATTATAAAAAAAAACAATAATAAACTATATAACAAAAGCCATTTTTTTTTCAACTACATTTTTTCACAACGAAAATTATTCAATTGTTTTACTATTTTAACATATCTACAATTTTGCACATCGTCGCGTTGCAAACAGTACGACCTTGACAGCGTACAACCTCTCCTGTGCTACCAAGGAGGTTCGTAGTCTATCAAAACGCGTTATATAATTTCCCAAAGTGGATTTACTTTTTGATAGTTACAATCCAGCGCTGGATCACTGGACTGGAATAATCTAAACTGTGAATAATAGCGATAACAATTATAAAATACATTTTTGGTCTATCAATTTACTTTGATTTAATGAAGTCATGAGCTGATATATTCAAATATTGTATTTGCCAATTAAAATGTTTTTTTTTTCCTTTAATATTTAATTTTAGGTATTACCAATAGCACAAGCGTCATACACTGAAGGTCTACCACCGTACTACTCCAGTCAGCAACACGCTCATAAGGTTTGCTTAGAAATGATATTAAAAAAAACTATTTTGGTAAGTTCTTGTGTCTCTTAGTATCGTTTCTGTAGGTGACAGTAGCTCTGGGTGAGTTAGAGGCGATGGCGCGCGGCCCTCTGATTGGTGGAGCGCGCGCCCGTCTGCGCAGCGCATGCGCAGCTGTATGGCAGTCGCGCAGACTTTGTGAAGTGCTCTCTCTCACACAACATCCTTGTATAGAGCCTGAACAGTTAGTATTTATATGTATTTCATACTTAACTGGCCCGTGAGATTAAAAAAAACTTAATTAGTAGCCTATATTTTCTTGCAGACTATGTTCTACATCTATGCTAAATTTCAGCGAGATCTATGCAGCCGTTTTGAGAATCATCATCATCAGCTCATTATACGCCTAGGCTCGGAGCCTACCCTAAAGTCGATTAGGCCATAGTCAACCACGCTGGCCAAGTGCGGGTTGGTTGACTTCACACATATCTTTGAATTTCTTCTCAGACATGTGCAGGTTGCATCACGATGTTTTCCTTCACCGTAAGAACGTCGGATAAATGTACATATGTAAATCGGAAATCGAAAAACACATTGGTACATGGCGGGATTCGAACCCAGGACCTGCAGATTGCAAGTCAAGTGCTTAAACCACTAAACCTCCGACGCTCTTTCAGAATTCTTTTTTTAGAATACCACCTAACAAATATACATCCATCCATCCAAACATTCGCATTTATATTTTAAAATTGGCCGTGTACGAGTATTAATCTTTGCTCGACATTGTTGTTTATTTTTTCTCCTTTTAAAAAGTATTTTAGTAATATTTATTACTCTATAACCTTAACGATATTTTGGACAATCAAACGTAAAAATAATTTTAAAGATAAATATCTTAATTTCTAAGATATAAGCGCACAAACAAACATTACAAATTGCGTTTTCTGTATAGCGACAGTAGCAAGGAGCACTCGTCTGGTGTGAGGTACATGAGCGCGTGCAACTGTGGCCGCAGCAAGTGTTCTCGTGAGGACCCTTACACACTGCGCCAAGCAAACTACGGCTTCTACCAGCAGGCCGCTGCCGAGTGTGGCGTGTGCAACACTCTCCTCGCCATTGATATGCCTGTCTTCCAGCCCTCCACACCCACCTTCAGGTACAGTCGTACAAATGGCTCTGCTGACATGTTCTCTTTCATATAAAAAAAATATTCAGAATCTCGCTATAATAAAACAATTTATGATTTAACTAGATGCCAACCATGACTCTGTTTGAGCGGAATTAAAAAAAAACTTAATTAGTAGCCTATGTGTTCGTCCAGACTATGTTCTACATCTATGTCAAATTTTATTGAGATTCGTTGAATTGTTCTGGAGATACTTTCTAACAAACATCCATACATCCATCCATCTAAATATTACTATTTATAATATTAGTAAGATATAGAGTATTCCACTAATGGACATTTTAATTCTGAATCTTATTTCAGAGCTGCTTCAGTGAAAGGAAACAATGAAGAGACTACAGAGACTCCTGAGGTGCAGGCGGAGGGTTCAGGTGAGGGCGGGACCACAGGCTCCGGCGAAGGGTGCGAGGGCTCCGCCTGGTCGGCGCACGCACTGTCCCCTGGCTCCGCACGTGACGAAGACCATGATGATGACACCGCACCTCATGACAGAGAGGGATACGACCTAGTGCCAGTTAGAGAGGAAACTACCTCAGGTATTGTTAACTTTATGGCAGGGTACATAGGACAACGCAAATCTTGGAAACCCGGTGATTTCAGTCGCCAAGCGACTTACGCATTTATCATAAAGGTATAAAGCGCGCGTCGCCGACATCTTTATGTCATCGCCAAAGATCAATTGTCAAGGTCGTCGTGACAAAAGTCGCTGCGATTTTTATTCTTCAGTGTAATCGCTAAGCCTTTACTTACCAAATAGACGACTCGAGTCGACGACTCAAGGTGAATATGCGCGCGCAACGTGGTTCTGGAGACGCTACCATACAATATTAGTTTCTACGATTTACATTGCCTTGTGTACGAAGGGTCCTAAGATCCTTGGCTTACATAAATGTAATTTACATATTACATTAAATTTATACTCTTTTATTGTAGAGAAGGTAATCAGTCGTCAGCCATCAACAACCGAGTACTTGCCGGGCATGCTGCACACAGCCAGCCCGCCGCATCTGCTGCCCGCCTTCCCCAGCTGGTCTCTGCTCTGTCTCGGACCCTCCTCTCTCTACTCGCACAGCCTCGGCCTGCCCGAGCACCTGCAGCCCGGCTTCCTCCCCCACACCAACTACCTGCTGCCCTGGGACTGCGTCGTCAAGTAACTCACAAACATTTTTACTCAGAGAAGACAGACAAAACCGGATGGTATGCTTGTATAATTTGTTTTTGTGAACAGAATGGAGCAAGCCAACGCATGGCGCGCGTCCCGGGGACGAGGCAAGGCGATGCCTCAGCATCATCTCACTGTCAAGATATTTATAGGATTTGAATACGAGTGCACGCGAGGACACAGGTGATCCTAAGCTTTACAGTTATTACAGTATTTCTGAAAGATTTATTGGCCTTAATATGAAAGTTTATTGAATAAAAAAGTAAAATGGCTAAAAACGTATAAATTCGAATCTAAATAAGCAAAAGATACTGTCCGGTTCTAATGAACAGTATCCATAGGCGAGAAACTCAGGTGAGAGAAAACCTTCTATAATATCGTGGTCCTTTGGACTCTCGCATATTCAGGTTCGACTGTATATGATAAAAACTGAATGAAGTGACAAAGTTCTTGCTCGAAGGACCATATAACTCAATATGATCCTTCGAGCAGGAAGATAAGAAACATCTGTTTTGATATATAAATATAATTGTTATGTGAATGTGTATGTGTAGGTTCATGATGTGCAGCCCCGAGGGTGCGCCGAGCGGGGGCGTGTCCAGCGGGAGCTGGGCGCGGGACGCGGCGGCGGGGGCGCGACTTGCGCAGACGCCGGTGCCGCTGCAGACCGCGTGCCTGTGCCGCGCCGCCCCGCGCGCTCACCTCGCCCGCGTGCACGTCGTCACGCCCAAGTCCAACGTGCACGTCACGCTGCACCCAAAGGTACATTTTGAAGCATCTTACTAATATTAATAATGCGAAAGTTTAGATGGATGTATGGATAAATAGCTGCATAGATCTCGTTTAAATTTGGCATAAATGTAGAATATAGTCTGGAAGATTATAGAGGCTACTAATTAAGTTTTTTTTTTTAATTTTGCTTTGACGAAGTCGCGGGACACAGCTAGTATTTCATCAGGAATGATTTTATCGCTATATGACCTTAGGGACATTAAAATGTAATTTTTTCCATTTTTTTTTTGCTCTATTGTGTTGTATTACATCGAAACTGTTATTTATTTTTAGAAAGTTGAAACATTACGAGTAAGAGAGTCTCAATATTATTGTTTTTTAATTTCATCTTTGATATTGTAAATTTATTTTATTGGTACAGGTGCAACCTATCCCAGGGGGACCGATCTTTGTACCCCAGCCTGTTGGCGAGCCTCCATTCAAGTTGAGCACGTCAGCGTACTGGGTGTTGCGGCTCCCGTACTTGTACGCGGACGAGCGCGGCTTGATGCCCCGCCCCCGCCCCCCACACTACACCTCCGGTACTCTCATACCACCACTATTCGGACTACAGGACTAATATTTAAAAATATAAAAAAAAGTTACAATCCTTTAGCGCGAATGACGTGTTTTCGTTACAAAGTCAAGTGTCAGAATGATTAGTGAGGGGACGTTGACATTTTAGTAAGGCTGTTGTGCCAGTACACCGGCTGTGTCGGATTTTCTTCCTAACAGTTTATATGTGTATGTTTGATATGTTCAAGGACACTTGTAAGTCAAATAAGATACATTTTCTTTATATGTAAAGTAAAAAAGCTAGATTTGAATATTATTAAGTGTAAAAATTAATTACTTATGTAGATTATTTGTTATATTTATATTAAAATAGTTTATAAAATGCAGATTTACTTTTATTTTATGTACAATCGTAATTTTAAATGTAAAATCTAAATTAAATTGCTATACATAGAGAACATCTATTAGAGAGTAAGACGGTTCCGATGGACGACCTCCATATGCGAGAAACTCAGGTAAGAGAGAAACCTCTATAAGTGAGAAAAGTATCGCGGTCCCTTGTACTCTCGCTTACACTGGTTCGACTGTATTTGAAGTAGTTATATTGTTTTAGTCCTAAAATGACTATGGCTATGTCACCCCTAACTCAGGGTAGGCTCCGAGCCCCCCAGGGGACGTATAGTAAGCTGATGATGAAACCTAAAATAAAGTTTATTATGTTATATATGAATTTTCAAAATGCCTTTGGTAAAAATAAAAACCCAAAGAAGTTAAAGTGTGTGTTTAATATTAAATTTTTTTAAGAATATTTAAAAACCTTTTAATATTAGAATAGCATCAGGTACGTATTTCATCGGCAGTGTGGCATCTCTCTTACTGCTACGTAAGGCTACGTAGCTGGTGCGTAGAAGTGCTACGAGCCGTAGCCTCAATGCTACGGCAACACGTAGCTATGATATGCTACATACAAGTTCTACGCTATCCCTCGTTCCTTATGAAAAATATATTTATGTCGTACTATATATAGTTTAGATTAAATTTATTCGTTTAATAAAAATAAAAACATTGACTAAATGATTTAATGAAGTCAAATTCATAATTTCTAACTTCTTGTATTTTCTAGAATAGTAATCAAATTTATTTAATACTGTTGACCCCATTTGCAATGAATATTCTTTGCATTAAAATTTTTTTTTTTTTAAAGTGAGAAATTTTTTAAAAAAGTTTTCAAATAACTTAATTCAATATTCAAATAAAAAACATTACCGATTTTATTAAAACAAAATAAAAAGTAAACAAATTCATCGTCTCATTAAATTCGTTGTTTATACAAAGTTGTTGTATGAAAATCGAATTTGAGATAATTCATTACATTACCCTTTCCTTTTTTCTTTTGTTCGTAAATAATTATGCTTCTTTATTTTCTGTTTTCGTCTATAATAGAAATAAAAATAGAATTAAAAAATTCAGTTCGCAACTTTTGTCCTAAATTTGGATATGACAATTGAATTTCGGAACGCCTGCGCCATCTATTGAAACGGAAACGAAGTATGTTTGAGAAGGAAAGAATTTTAATGTACTTATTTAAAAACTGAATTTTGTTAAATTCAAGTGAAAATTATTAAATATAAAAGTTTATTAGAGCATTAATTTTAAGTTTTACTGTTATTTGTTATAAAACAGACTCATAAAAAATATTTTAATAAATTTAAGAAGACTGAAAACGATTTAAAATTCCCCCTCTGTTCGGGATGTTGGTGGTGAGAGGGGGCTAGATGCGGGGAGGGGATGGATGGCTTCCAGTGTCACTGCAGGGACAGAAATCGTCAGTCGGTGTTGAGGCTCCGAGCCGTGACAACGTATTTGAAAGGTGAAACGCTGCCCGATTGGCTACTCAAAAGTTTTAAAGTTTTTTTTTGTTGAGAATTATTGTGAAGATTCTTAGGCACTTATGCCGTTCGTACACCAGGTGAGTTATTTCTTTTAATGTTGATGCGTCTTTTTAGTATCTACTTTTCCTGACTTTTCTCATTTTCTTTACTACCCTTGTACAGGGCCACAAAACCTAATTTTTATTCTGTTAATTTCTTTATAATTTTAAAATTTAAAAATTAATTAAAATAAAATAAATAATTAAATTAAAAATACGAAAGTAGCATTTGCAATCTGCTGCTCATAAGTTTAACAGAGCCTTGTCATCTAAAAGGGGGTAGACAAAGTCAAAGTCTCTAGAACTCTACCAGACCTTACTTTCATAAAAAATTTAACAGGATAAAAGTCGTGAGGGCGGCGGTTCTAGGGAAAACCGCCGTTCCCTGACCAATTTCATGGGCTTCGACGCCCTGCAGCTGTCGCAGCAGGCCGGCTCCTCGAACAGTACACACGATTCTATTGTAAGTATATTTACTATGTTCCCCTTAGTGTTGATTTAATTACGCATTAAGCTTCCATAGTGACAAACTACTTGACGGCAGTTAATGCACCGTCCCACTTTGGGTGCCAATATTTTTAATTTCATTTTACAAAAGAATAGACTAGTCATTGGTTCGTATGCACATTTAATGTGCAGGCTCTGTCTGCCAGCCGACCCATTAATAGCCTTCCTGTGCCAAATATCCCGGCTGGCTACGACGGTTGGCATGTACTTGGATTAGCCTGTGCGTCTCGGAGCGGCCCCTTGCAATATATCTTGCTACCCTGTCTTAATACGATAGTGTTTTTCCTCTGTTGTCCGCGTTATAATTTTGTAAAATTTCTCTTGGTAGTTCGATACATACAACTTTTAGTCCTATAGGTTATTTTTAAAATGTTTGCTATTATTTTTTCTTCTACCCTCTTCTCTTGAAAACGTTTTAAAGACTTTACCGACTTGTTACTAAACCTTACGGGAACTTAAAAGGTTCTATATATCGTGTCCTCTATACAGGATGGGCCAGTGCCGGGTGGACTCGGCGGCGCAGAAAAGCCTCGCCAGTGGGAGCAATGGAAGCCAGCCAGCCCCGAGGCGGCACAGAGTCCGCGGAGCCTCGTGCCCGCCACCTGCTTCCCGCCAGGCCCCGCGGGTTTCGCTAGTTATAGGTTTGTTTATATTTGTCCAGATCTAATTTCGTTTAATTTGACTGCGTAGAGCTTAATAACTGAAGGGATCATAGCTAGTAACGAGTCATACGACTAATATAAAAATTGTTAATGGAGACAAAACTATGGCAATACAATGCATCTTCGGTACGCAATTTTGGTCTGTCTATTAAATTATTCGTCTTTTATTGTAAAACTTGGCCGCGCTCCGAGCGCACTGCCAGAATGTGACAAATTGTTTTGCATTATGGACAATTTTTAATATAGGTACAGTGAAACTCCAGCTTTTTCATATCATTAAATCTATGGTTAAATTTATCTTATGCCACTTTATTAGTAAATCCAGGTCGTCGGTCAGCTCTAAATGTTATCGATTCGTCTATTTTAGGCTATCTGATCTCGACTGTGCGGTTGATATTTTTGGTCTGTTAGGTTTGTGTCGACACTAGTACCCAAAATAACTTTACCAAGTAGCATATAAGGGAAAAATACTAAAAATAAATAAATGTTATCAGTGAAAACGCGCGGCCAGGCAGCTGGGCGGACGACGGAGCAGGCACGTGGCCAGAGGATAGTTCTCTGGAATGGACAGAGGTCCCCAACCAGTACACAGACCTTGTCACGTCCATGGTAAGATAACTAAACTTCACAATGTTCATTTTAGTATCTCTATCGACCGTATTTCCAACAATTAGCAGTCCTAGTACATTGTGATAGGTTTTAAATAAGTAATTTTACAGAAGACGTTGTCTATGTCCGCGGCGGACTTCCGCGGTCCCCGCAGTCCCCGCAGCCCTAGCGCACTGCAGCTCGCGCTGGACCAGGGGAATGGCCTCAATGTAAGTTAGTTTCTATACGAATTACTCCCAGATTTTTTAAAATTTTGAGTTTTATTTCGGGACTTGCTTCTAGATGCAGCCACCATGGCCGCCGGAGCAGGCGTCAACGTCTATGATAAACAATGCCCCGGTCAAACCGTATATACGTAAGTAATACTATTTATTTCTCGATTGAAGCATAGTTTTCCAATTTATTACTAGATGGCAGTTACATGAAATATATGTGTCGCATGTTTGGCAGCAAGCGGCGGACGCGGGTCCCGCTCCGAGCCGCTGCGGTGGTCGGGGCAGCTGCCGGCGCGCGGTGTTGATGCCAGCGGCGGCTACTCCTCAAAGGTGTTCGTGGGCGGCCTGCCCTGGGACATCACTGAAGACGACCTGCTTTATTCCCTCCGGAACTTTCAGCCAGTACGGTGAGTCCAGTGTAGGAACCTAATCTAATAACTAAATCTAATAACTTTTTTCAACTTCAAAAAGTATCTATTTTGGTATTCGATTGTTTTTCTGTATTTAATATTGTAAGTATTGGTTTATCAGTGTGGAGTGGCCGGGGCGCGAGGGCGGGTGCGGTGTGGGCGGGGCGAGCGGCGCTGGAGGCGGGGCCGGGGGCGGGGCGGAGGCGTCACCGCGCGGGTACGCGTACGTGACATTCGAGAGCGAGCGGCGCGTGCGCTCTCTGCTGGCGGCCGCGCGCTGCGAATCCGGCAACTGGTACTACCGCGTCTCCTCGCGCAACATGCGTAACAAGGAGGTAAGTAACAATTCTACGTGTTTTAAGTTTGTGTTAAAGTTTCAAGTAGTTTTAATGACTAAGAACTTTTTTACTTGTTAGGTGCAAGTGATCCCGTGGGCGGTGTCGGACTCAAACTACGTGTGCGGAGGCTCGGTGCGCTTAGAGCCCCGTCGCACCGTGTTCGTGGGCGCGCTGCACGGCATGCTCGGCGCCTACGGGCTCGCGCTCATAATGAACGATCTGTTTTCCGGCGTCGTATATGCAGGTGACACAGATAAACTTTATTTCCTCTACGGAAACATTTGTATTTTTACACCAATCGTGTATTTACAATGTGTTTTGTTGCAGGTATCGACACAGATAAGAACAAGTACCCGATAGGGTCTGGTCGGGTGACATTCAACAACGCGCACTCCTACCTGCGCGCCATCGCTGCAGCATACATTGACATCACCACTGACAAGTTCTCAAAGACCGTGAGTACTTCATTACTTATACAACTTTAATATATTGGAATTTATATTTTATTGCTTCGTTACTTTAATTATTCATATTGCAGGTACAAGTGGACCCGTACCTGGAGGACGCGATGTGCTCCGTGTGCAACCTGCAGCAAGGACCCTACTTCTGCAGGGACCCGCTCTGCTTCAGGTATACTTTCGTGATTTCCTTTCATGTTAATGTTTTTCAAACGGTAGATTTTCTCTTCTGATGTCTGGATGTCATTATAATTGTGTAGATACTTCTGCCGCGCGTGCTGGGCCTGGCAGCATCGCAACGTGACCCACAAGCAGCTCATGCGCTGGTCCAAGAGCAGCGCGGGCTCAGGCCCTCGCCACGCCCCCGCCCTCGGTCACGCCCCGCACCACGCCCCCGCAGCGCGCGTCGCCGCCCCCGCCCCCGCCTCGCCCCCCGCCGCCGCGCAACCTCCAGCACTCGGGGAACAACATGCTTACAATGGATACGCTGCTTCTTGTGACGGTAAGTCGTCACTTTAAGATTAGTTCCGCAAAATATGTAACTGGATACGTAGGGAACGCGCTGATGACCTTGGACCACGAAGTATTTGAAAAATCGTATCTTTAATGGCTGTACAAATGTATTTTCTTATTTTTTAGGCACACCTTCGCCAGTTCCCAGTGAACTCGAAGTGTCTAGCGGCATGTCTACGCAGAGCCTCTTCCCGGCGCACAAGTTAAGTGACGCCAACAAGGAGCCTTGGGAGTAACCTGAATATTGATTGTTTACTGTTAGTTAGCCTTTTTAAATATTTTATTGAGATATTTTAATTGCTTGTTTGAAACTCTTCAATTATTTTTTGAAAGATGATTATTTAAATTAGGAAAAGATACTGAAAAGATGATTTTTAATGAATGTCTTTGTGATTATTTTGCGTATATTTTTAAATTAAGATGATTCTTAAAATGAAGTATTGTAATATTTTAAATTTCTGTAAGATTTTTAAATCGTTTTATAAGCTTGCTTACGATGGCCTTTCAAAATGTATAATCGGATTTTTTTAAGTTTGTTTTTAAAACGACCAATTATTGTATCGAATCTTTTTTATATCCATATTTTAATGTTTTAAATAAATTAAAAATGGGATAACTCTTTTAAAATCAAATTAACTTCACGAACCTTGTAAAAGTTTGGTACTTGACAGAAAATTATATATTGAAATGTTGATTTGACTCTTGTAAAAATTATATAAATGCTAAATAAAAACTCTAAAATGCATATCTTTTTGTTTAATTAAACCTTACCTTCAAAACTGTTGCATAAATCTCGTAGAAGTCCGCGCGACATAAAAATAATTTCTGTATTTATGCCAACTTTCAGCTTCATGCATCTGTGCTGAAGACACCTTCCAACAACCATCCATCCAATTCATAACATCGAAACATTCAATTTATAATGTATGTAAAAGTAAATCTGCGACTTTTTTTTACGTAAACGAAGTCACGGTCAAAAGCTAGCTTAACAACTTTAACAATGGTAGAGCCCGCTTTAACATCTTCGCACGAATTGTCCCGGCTCGCCCGGTGAAATACCACGACCACACAGAAGACACGCGTCAAGTGGAAGCAATTCCGCGTACAGTCTGATGAGTGCGTCCCGGAGGCCTAATTTAGTCCTCTTTCCCTTCTTACCCTTTTTCTTATAAGGAAATGATGGGAAGTGGAAGTGGACTTTCCGGATGAGAGGATGCATGGAAATTTTTTCTTTCTGTGCTTCCTCTCCTCCGTCGATTAAAGGTAGGCAACGCATATCCAATTGCCTATGTCTATGGGCAACGGTCACTTCAGTGATTTTACGTGGCCGCTCGCTCGTTTGCCACCTTATGATATAAAAAAAAAGCTCCAGACGTATCTGAGGGGTTCAGACAAAATGCATTCTTTTAGAAGCGGTTCCATAGCGAACTTCCAAATTATATGGAACTGTTTCGCCTTGCGCTTGACAGAACCAAATATTCCAAGTTAGCGGCCAACCTTCAAGACTGAAGAGGCACTAGAAGAAGAAGACGCGCGAGAATCACGTGACTTATGGAATCGCTTCAGAGCGAATGCACCAACATCTTAAAAAATCTGTTTGTTTTAGGAACGTAAATAAAATACTTGATGTAATTGTAAAAATTTATTTAATTTCTCTTACTTTCAAAGTGTATACCTCAAGGAGGTAGGTAGAGAACTACAATTATCTACTTATCTACCGAAAAGGTAACAAGCGGTGTCTTTAAAAAGCTATATTCGATAGAGATCGCGTTTATTTTCTATAAAAAAAAAACTATCCGGTTTTCGAATAGGAAAATGTAAAACGTAGGAAACATAGCCAAAATATTCACCAAACAAATTAACACAAATAAAAATGGCGATTTAAAAAAACAATAATAAACTCTGCATATTTAAAAGGCGACTTAATATTTCGCAACATAAGCCATAAAATTGTGTATAAAACAAGCGCCGTTTTGAAACGGAGCTCGACAACTTTTTTTTTATTATTTCTTATTTTTATAGTAATTTTTTATATATCAAGGTCATTGAGGTGCACAGTTTTAAACTCTACAAGTGAGCATCATCTTTACATCTCTTTTCTACGCTTAATTGTGAATGAATATAAATAAAATGCAAAATAATTTATTTCTCTAAGTAAAACATTTTTTTAAAAACGATACAAATAATTTTGAAATGTTACAATTAACGAGAGCGTCGGTGGCTCAGTGGTCAAGCACTTGACTTGCAATCTACAGGTCCTGGGTTCGAATCCCGCCATGTACCAATGTATTTTTCGATTTCCGATTTACATATGTACATTTATCCGACATTCTTACAGTAAAGGAAAACATCGTGATGCAACCTGCACATATCTGAGAAGAAATTCAAAGATATGTGTGAAGTCAACCCGCACTGGTCCAGCGTGGTTGACTATGGCCTAATCACCTTGAACTTAGGGTAGGCTCCGAGCCCTCAGTGGGGACGTATAGTGAGCTGATGACGATGTTACAATTAAAATATTTTATATATTGAGAGCTTTCACTGGTTTAAATACATACATATAACTATATACAATTCTATTTACAATCAAATCAAGTAATTTCTTGCAATAGTTCTATTTCATCGTTGAAGTATGCGTCTTTCCCTGGGTACAGTATAGCGGCGAGGCGCGGGAGGTGCTTCGCCCCGGGTGCTCTGCCCCACGAGGCCGCCTCCGCCTGTCCTGGAGGCAGCGCGCTGCAGCTCGACTCGTACGCCTGCGCCAGCTCCACTGATGAGGGGTCGAGGATACAAAGCGCAAGACGGCATAGGAGACGGATTCTACGAACAACACAACAACAGGAATAAATATAATATAATACAATAATTTTACTTTCCCTTGATCTTTTTAAATAGCATTTTCTTCGCTTTTCATAAATATTTCTCAGTTACACTTTTAAGTAATCTCATATCGAGGGATCGCAGAAACAAGCCATCGGCCATTTTGTAGTGGTGGCCATCTTGGATTTATAATTTTTAAATGAGAGTTTTTACTTCATTCCTACTAAAACGCGCCAGTTGACATTACGTGATAGTTAATTCTATCTATATTATTAGTTCGAATCTACAACACCGTTATAAACAGATATCATCAGCGCCAAAATGTCAAAAATCAAATATGCACAAAATATTACGTCTTGTAGCCGGTCCATTTATAGAGATTGACTAAAAAAGGACAAATTAACAAGAATGAGTGAATTAAAAGACACAACAAATATAAACTAACCTGACAGTGTGCGTGTCGTGTTGCATAGCAACAAGCTGCAGTATAGAGCGGCGCGGCTCCGCGGCCCAGCGCACGACCGCACCGCGCGCCAGCTCCGCGCACTCTGACACAGCGGCACTGACAGCTGTCACTCGCCGCGACTGCAGCGCCGCGCGGCACAACACGCACACCCATACTGCCGTTATCGGCTCATCGTCACTTCTACACAAACATACATACATTTTAAAAAAACAAATACAGATATTAACGGTCGTTCTATGTTGTCTTTTATAGGATACTAGCTGTCACCCGCGACTCCTACCGCGCGGGATTTAAAAATAGTTGTAAGCTGATTTTCAGACTTACTATATCCCTACAGAATATACATATGAGTCAATATAAGTCTATGCAAATCAATAAGAATCATAACATTCATCCATCCATCCATCCAAACATTCACATTTATAATATAATATTAGTAAGAAGTAATATTGAAATTGAAGTAGAAATAACAACAATAATTTGAATATATACAATAATTAAATATACTTAAAGTAACATACGGTGTAAGATTTAAGGCGAGGAGTGCTCGCAGCAAGTCTTGCGGCGGAAGCGTGTCTCGGGGCAGCAGCGCGTACGCCGCGTGCCAGCCGCGTCGTGCCCCCGCCGCCGCCGCCGCGCCCGCACCCCATGCACACCCGCAGAGCCGCGCACGCAACGTGCTCCAACCACCACCCTCACAACCTGATAATACATCGCTAAGATAGTATCATCATTATTATTCATCATCAGCTCACTATACGTCCCCACCGAGGGGCTTGGAGTAATAATGTCTAAGAGTACGTAAGTTAACCTGATAGTGTCATATGAGTGCTAGAGATGGTGTCAGCGAGTGGCACGAAGTATTCGAGTGCAGTGAGAGTGGCGGCCGCACTCGCCGCAGCCAGCCGCAGTCTCGCACCACACTCCCGCACCCATTGCTGCCACACCTACATATTTTTATTATATACTAGCTGTCGCCCGCGACTCCGTCCGTGCGCTATTAGAAAGAAACATAATTGAAAGCCTATGTGTTCTTTCACATTATGTTCTATATGTATGCCGAATTTGATTTGAGATTCATTGAGGCCTTCTTAAGATACCTTCAAACAAACATCCATCTAAACATTCGCATTTACAATATTAGTAAGACTAACTTTTGACCGCAACTTCGTCTGCATAGAATTAAATAAAGAGTGAACAGTATCTCATGGGTTATTCTAAAAAGTTGTGTCCGGTTTTGTATGGTTGTCGGTATCACGAATCATGAAATAAGTTAGTTATTTTGAGAAAAGTAGTCTTAGGTACAGGCAGGGCAGCTGCTGCTGCAGGCTCCAGGCACATGATGACGAGGGCGCGACTCAGCAGCTCCTCTATCTCACCCGCAGACCCCTCAATCTGTGGCGCTGCACAACAATTCACATAACAAAATTATTCCAATTGTAACAAACTATTGGCAGCTAGGTGTCGCCCTCAACTCTGTTCGCACGGGATTCAGAACACTTAATCAGCATCCTATGTGTTCTTCCAGACTATGCAAAATTTATGCAGCCATTCTGGAGACCTTCTCAAAAACATCCATCCATTCAAACATTCACATTTATAATATTAGTAAGAAGTAAGTTAACGTCTAAATACCACTAAAATACACATTACTAATAAACTTAAAGAATGAATATCAATACATCGATGTTCACTGTAACAAAGTATCATGTTATGGCGCACGTGTTGTAGTTACCGAGGTCAGTGAGCACTCGCAGCATGTTGTGTGCGTGCGCGTGCGCGTGGTGTGCGAGAGTGGGCGTGGCGGCGGCGCGCACGCACTGCGACACGCTGCGGGCACGTCGCGCACGCACATCCACTACGCACTCACCTCTCTCACCTACTATTACTAGTTGACTCGCGCATAGTAGTAACCTGAGTTTCAAAATATTTTTATAATAATGTATTGAAAAATCACACAAATAATACATATTTCAATAAGAGCTTCGCTAGTTGAAAAATAAATTATTTACCGTGGGTTTCCAAAACCAATATCACTGTTTCAAATATATTGTTATCTCTATTTTGTGAAAGATAATGATAGAGATGACGATATGTTTTATACAGATATTTTGGTCTCGGAAATTCAGGGTTAATTTATAATCTACGATATATATTAGCTTTTTTAAAAACGACTTATTTTAAATGCATTGACGGTAAATAGTATAAATAAATATAATTATACCTAAATTGCATTGTCTCGTGGTAAGGGACGGCAGGATTGTGAAAGTCGACAAAGAACTGCTCGAAGGCCGCGTCCAGCGCAGCATCTGGCAGCCGCTGCCATGGCAACAGCGCTGCTTCTTCCAACACCTAACAAATTATCATCATTAAATACCAAAATCCGCGATCTTCGGGTAGATTACTCGATTTTCCATATTCAAAACTTGTTACGACACATACGAGGATCTTACTAATATTATAAATGTGAATATTTGGATGTATGTATGGATGTTTGTTAGAAGATATCTCCATAATGGCTTCATAGATCTTGCTGAAACTTGGCATAGATGTAGAACATAGTCTGGAAGAGCATATAGGCTACTAATTAAGTTTATTTTAGGCGACTGTAAGTCAAGTTAAGGCATTAACTTACTGGTTTATGGATCTTTGTTTATTGAACCAGGATCTAGTATATAAAAGCAATTTCCTATAGATTAATTAAAAGAAAGTTGTATATAACCTGTGTGTCAAGATGAAGGTGCGGGGAGCAGAAGAGGGACAGTAGCGCGGCGAGGTGGGGGGCGAGGCGTGTGTCATGCACGCCGCGCAGCCAGCTCTCTGCGCCCGCGCATCTCCACCGCGCTCCACACCATGACACTATCTCTCTGTCACTGCTGCGACTTATCTGGAAACATATTTTACTTCCTACTAATCCTATTAATATAATTGAGAATGTTTGGATGGATGGATGGATGGATGTTTGAAGGTATCTCCGGAACAACTGAAGAAATTGGCTCATATGACATAGTCTGGAAGAACACATAGGCTACTAATTAAGTTATTTTTTTTATTCAGCGCGAATATAATCCCGGGCGGCTCTAGTACATTATAAATGCCAATGTTTGGATGTATGGATGGATGAATCTTAGAAGGTGTTACACTTACAACATTGGTTATGAAAATATGTTCGACCTTAAAACCTTTAATTATGTTTAAAGTACTTTATACAGTATATTTTTTGTTTTTTTTTTATTACAATTGTGGTAACATTTTCAGATTAAAATCATATTCTTATTAAGATACAATTATATTATTAAAGTAGAAGAATTTTTAAATGTACTGTAGAATCTAAATAAGCAAAAGTCCAAGATTCTTTTCCCGCTTATAGACGCATCTCTATTACCTGTGACTCTCGCTTATGGAGGTCGCTATTCAAGAAGGGCCAGTGACTCAGTTATCTAGGTATATTACCTGCAGTGCTAACGACATACAAGAAGCATGCATCCAGTGGGCAGTGTTCCAGGGCAGTGGTTCCAGCGCGGCGAGCAGCGCAGACAGCGCGACGCGGCACGACTGCGAGGCACGCGCACCCGCCCCCACGTACGTGTGCACCGCCCACTGCCACACGTAACGTAGCACAAACTCATCGCTACCTGCACACATACTTTAGTAATTGAAATACACTGAGGAACGTTCAACACTAAGTTTGTCCTTTAGTTATTACTTGAAATAAATCTAATATTATAAATGGGAAAGTTTGGATGGATGGATGGATGTTCAACGGATCTTGATGAAATTTGGCACAAATGTAGAAAATAATCTGGAAGGAGACATAGCTTCATATTTTTTTTTATTAATTCTGCGCGGACGGAGCCGCGTGCAATAGCTGGTGTATACTAAATGGGATATACGAAATTGAATTTAACAAAAAACGATTTATTTAATTACTAGTTACTTTACTATCTGACCTGGACAGTCGTCTATAAGAAGTTGTAAAGTTTCTCTGAATCGTTGCAGCATGTCAGCGTGCGCGTGCGCGTGCTCGTGCGTGTCTTCCGCGTGTGTGACAGGCAACAGCGGGGGCGGAATCCCCGGCTGCACCCACGGCGACCACGCCTCACGCAACCCCGACCACACGAACCACGACACTAACATTTTACATTGTAAAGTTCAACAAGGATAACTGAACTGATGAGAGGCGCTGCTATCGCGGTTGCTTATCAGAAAATATATAAAACCTACTTAAACAAGGAAATGACATAAAATAAAAAAAAAAAAGAAATTACAGCTACAGTAGAAAAAGGGATCTTGTTATATTTTTTTGATGTTGACAGAGTGGTGCTAATGAGCTGTCATAATTTATTTTGACTTGCGTACACCAATTCAAGTAGACTTGTCGGTGTACAACACTAGCGATCATTCGCTGCTTCGCACTGGCTATTATTAAACATTTCAAAACAATTTCAAATATTTACTTAGTAGTTTTTGAGTTTATTTGTCACAAACATAAGATTCTTTTCTCTTTATTCAACTCTAGATGTTGACAATGCTTCTTTGAAACTAAATTTAGTCGTATTTAATATTTATGAGGAGAAAAGTCAATGTCTTAATTTTAAAGTTAGAGTTTCATGTAAGTAAACTGACCTTTTTCAGTATCACATCCCAACGCTACAATAGCAGGAGTGAAAGCCTGCTGCAACACCTGCAGTAGATCTGCGACATGAGGTGCGTACGGCACATACTTGTCAGTTTCTTCAGAGAGTAAAGTGCGCGTCTCCCACCAGATGCCGCCCAGCTGTCTTAGGAGATTACCTAACTGTCAACATATAAACATACTAAAAATAAACAAGTCTAGATTTGAAAAAGCTATTATCTAGTACAAATAATCAATTTGTATTGTTTTGTTATAATTTAATTAACTAGCTGTCGCCCGCTACACCGTCCGCGCGACTTTAAAGAAAAATAGACTGGAAGAACATATAGCCTACTCATTTTCCTAAATCTATGCCAAATTTCATCGAGATCTGATAATCCTTTCCGGAGATACCACCATACAAACATCCATCCATCCATTCATCCAATTAAACATTCGCGTTTATAATATTAATAAGATTTATCTCAAGAACCTTTTTTTATGAGTAAATCAAAAAACTTAAAATACTTATACAATAAAGCATGAAATATACAAGTATTGAGCAGTATACCTCGTAGTACGTAAGTGCGTGCGCGTGCGCAGCTGCGTGCGTGAGATGCGCGCACAGTGCGGGGGGCAGCGTGCCGCCCTCGCACCCCCGCGCGCCCCGCACCACCAGCTCGAACACCTCGCCCGCACCACACACCAAGCCTATGTGCACTCCTATTAACTAAAACAATAAATTACAATTATTATTCTATTATTATAACAGTTTTTTCTAATCTAGGCATACTATTATCTGGTTTTGCTGACCCATAAAGGAGATTATATGTTCATATTAACGGTCGCCCGCGACTCCGTCCGCCGCGGAATTAAAAAAAAAACATTATTAGTAGCCTACATGTTCTTTCATACTAAGTGCTAAGTATACTAAATTCCATCGAGATCCGTTAAGCCATTTTGGAGATACCTTCAAACATCCATCCATCTCAACATTCGCATTTACAAATAAATATATGGCTTGCCATTACATAACTTTGTGGGTGGGGGAAGTGGTCAAGGGGGCGTGTCTTACTTAGACATTCCTTTAACCAAGTACCCATAAATTGTGTTTCGTGCGACTTGTGTTCAATGTTTTGTGTGAGCTGATATTATATTTGTATACTGTACTTTTAGTTAAAATTCTACCTCAAGTAAAACATGGTGTTCGGGCTCCGGTGCGGGCCCCCAACGCTCCGCAGCCTGCACCAGGATATCCAACATCTTCTCTTTTTGTGCTGGATCTACTCTCTCAGCCCACGCGCCCATCTCAAACTATTGAAAAAAGAATAATGCACATTTTAACCAAAAAAAATCTTAGTGTTAATGTAAAAAAAAAATTACATAATAACATTTTATGATACCCGGGATAGATAGCTAAAAGCAGCAGGTATTGGCAGCGAGGCTGTGAGCACAGTCTCATATAGTTCAAGGAATGAGGCGTGGTCCAGGTGTCGCGGCTGTACGAGGGCGGAGCAGAGCGCGAGCGCCCCGCCCCCAGCCCCCGCCCACGCACGCAGCAGACGCCCACACGTGCCCGCATCACCGCACACCCACCGCTATATACAAAATTCAACTTTTAATACTCATTTTTATCCAAATACATGTTTTTATTATGTGTAGCATTTAATATAGATTAAAATTGTCTTTTACACTTTATCATTCTGATAATTTAAAAGACAACGATCTTAAAAACAGCGCGCAACCAAAATAATTGCTGGCAGGGCGCAGTTGTTTATTTCAAAGTTTTTGGATGTGCCAAAAAATAAATCAGACTTGCGCGAAGCCTGGACAGGTTGTTAGTAATTGTTAACAACACGTACCTCGGCAAGTTGTGTAACGAGGGAGTTGATAGCGTCTATGGCGGGCGGGAAGCATTGTGCAGCGGCGGCACTGCTCCCTGCGCGCTCAGCAACACGCACTGCAGTCTCCCGGCTGCGAACCACTCTACAACGACAGTCTCACTTTGAACTAGTAATAAAAAAGCCATGAAGACTGTATCCAAATAACATCCCAGGGAGAACACGAAACACATGGGAACAGGAGATATAAGGCAGGGGGGAAAGACACATAGTATAAATCGCAACCGTACTTTTCTATAAGTCGCGGAGAGAGAATGTATGGATAATATCGACATATAAAGGTTCATTTACATATAATACGGAATCGTACGAACAACGCTCGGCTAACTCTTTAGAGCGAGACAAACGTATATTCTGATACGTTTGTCTCGCTCTGAAGTCGAGTGTTCTTCGTACGTTTCCGTATTATATCTAAATGAACCTTAAGGGCCTTATTTGCCATTGGGCCGATTGAACGGTAGGCCGATTGGTCCAACGGAAAACACCCACTTACACTATTGTTATTGTTTGTTAATGTGATTTTACCTGACTAATGATTGAAGTGTGGCAGCAACTCGAGCTGTAGCAGGTCTGGGGCGAGCCAGTGCGCGTAAAGCGGCTAAAGCGCAGCGTCTGTTACCCATTGAATCACATGTTCAAAATTGCATACACTTTAATTTGAACGGCTTACTTTAGATATATTAACAAACCTATTTTGTTCGATTCCTTCTTCCGCACCTGTTGATATCACCCATTCGTATTTCTGTATTAAAAAAATTAAGATATTTTTTTAAAATTCTAATCTAGTAAATGTCCCGTTCAAATCAGTTCAGCCATTTGGACCAATATAACTACTCGGAATAAACGCTGCTTGCGGACATATAGACAGACAGACAAATTTAAAATTGGTTCCACGTTATATGTAAAGCATCACGTATACGTAATATTTTTTAAATTACACAGACAATCCGTTTTTATTAACTATATACATATATCCTTAGTGCTGCGCTGACAATAGCTTAATTGTTACTCAGGAACACTTTAGTACAGACTAGATGTCTTAATTAGTAGCCTATGTGCTCTTTCAAACTATGTTTTGCATTTGTGTCAAATTTCAGCAAGTTCCGTTGAGCCGTTCTGGAGATACCTTCAAACAAACATTCATCCATCTCAACATTCGCATTTATAATATTAGTAAAATAACTATATAGTACAAGATGACAAATAAACAGTTCCCTGATTTCGCTGAAACGGCGAAGTGGCTCCAAGTGAACGATTCTTTCAGTAGTACCTGTATTGCAATTTTCAAAGGTTTGCATGTGTCGTTGCCGCACCACCTGGTGTACGTGGGCAGGGGGCGGCGCACGCGCAGCGCACGCACCAGCTCCACCAGCTTGCTGTCTAACTGCGACACTTGCGACACCTCGCGACTCCAAACACTAACAACACAATTTTATAAACTAGCGATACAGCGGTAGCTACCTACCGCTGTATCGCTAGTTTATAAACTTCTAGACTAAAATACAATAATTAAAAATCACGATAAATATTACATTTATAGCTGTCGCCCGCGACTCCGTCCGCTTGAGATTCAAAAACAACTTAATTAATAATCTATGCGTTCTTCCAGATTATGTTCTACATCTATGCCATATTTCAGTGAGATTTATACAGCCGTACTGGAGATATCTTCTAACAAACATCCATCCATACATCCAAACATTTATGTTTATATTAGTAAGATGTGTTTATAGAAAGAGGATCTTTATCAATAATATAAAACTCGAAACAACTATTATTAGAACATGAAAAATGTAAAGAAACTTATGAATGAATAAAAGAAATATTGTAAATAAACAAAATAACCTTACTGAGCATCAGATTCCAAGGTCTTCAGATATTTGTCTATAAGGTTGAAGATGACGCGTGCGTCTGACAAATTATTGTCCTCTAATAAAGGCTTGATGTCCGGCACAGGGGACCTGCAAATAATTAAAACAATTTAATACAACTAGCTGTCGTCAGCGACTCATTATTAGTCTATGTGTTCTTCCAGACTATGTTCTACATCTATGCCAAATTTAAGCGAGATCCATTGAGCCGTTTAAGAGATACCTTCAAACATCCATCCATACAAAATGTCATAAAATGGTGATTAAAGTTTGTTTCAAAATGATGAGACAATTTATACAAAAATATAAAACTAGCTGTCGCCCGCGACTACGTCCGTGCGGAATGAAGAAAAATCGGTCAAGCCGTTTCGGAAAAATAACTAACATTGTGACACGAGAATTTTATATATAACATGTTGTTTATTTCAAAGTCAAGCACTTACAATGCCCTGGTCTCCTTTATTTGTAACAAAACGTGAATTGCCCGCTGCAGCGGTGTGGGTGGTGCAGAGGGCGGGGCGCGCGGTCGCGGGGGCGTGGCCGACACGAACCATCCGGGCAAAGAGTTCCTCCGCGCTGCATTCATACCCTAAACAAAACCTATGTTATTTCTTATACTCTAACAATAATCCCTTTTATAAATAAGAAAATTTTCTTATAAACTTATATGTTTTTCAAGACTATGTTCTATATGTATGACAAATTTCAACGAGATCCGTTTAGCTGTTCTAGAGATAGAGGCAGTAATAATAAATTCTACACATCCAAACTTTCGCATTTATAATATTAGTATGGATAAATAATTTGATTGAAGTAAAATAAAATTAAAAATAGTTTTAAAAAAAGTTAAAAAATGTACTAAAGTAAAAAAAAAATCATACACTAAGTTATTAAGTTAAGGTTCAAAGTAATATTTAAGTTATTGTAAAAATATAAATTACCTGATGTTGTATGAACCTGGCTATGTCTGCGTGGTGCGGCGCCGCGCGTGTCTTGTCTCCCTCCGACAACCACATCTTGTACTCACACAACATCCTACACATAACACATTAACCGTGGATTTCTGAGACCAAAATTTCTGTATAAAACATTATCATTGTCATTATCTTTAACAATATGTTTTAAACGGAGACTTTGGAACTCAGAAAACGACGGTTACTGACTCAATCCGTTAAGAACTAACTCCGTTAACGGAGTGCCTTAGTGTATATTTAGTATGAGAAATCTATACTAAGCTCGTTAAATAACTATTTTGGGTCAGATAAAAAGTTCTTTAAGCAGTCTTTTCTTTAAAAAAAATCTTAAATGTTTGATGTATGCATAGATATTTAAAAAATATGAATAAAACTCACTTAACTGCACCCAAATGATAACAGTGGAGATGAAACTTCTCTCTCGAAGCAGAAGATTCACTGACCCTTTCTTCTAATATCTCTTCTTCGGATGACTCACTCTCAGAATCTATTCTATATTCTTCTTCTATTAAATCATCGATTGTGATTGGTGCAAATAATTTTCCATCACTTTTTTTTGTATTATTCGTTTTTCTAGTATCACTGGTCGCTTGAATTTCTTCTGTTTGTGGATAGATTTGACTTTTTAATTGTTCGCTCTGTGTTTTATGATAGTCTATGGCATCTTGGAGACGTTTCTTTAGTTGGGACAGAACTCTGGACTTGATTATGCCACTGAAGAACAATGGACCCACTGGTATTGATGTAAGTTGTCTGAAATAAGACATTTTAATTTTTTTAAGAAGTATTAACCTATTATATAAAAATAAATCGCAAAATGTTTTGGTAAGGACATAACTCAAAAACGCCTGGACCAAAAAAAAAATTGGCCAATTTTTTTTAAATGTTCGTTGAAGTTCAAAGATGGTTTTTACGGCGAGAAAAATTCGAATAATTGCCGGGAAACCCTCTAGGAACCTTTCTTTTATCCCGCGCGGACGGAGTCGCGAGAGACAGCTAATCTTTAATACATTTGTGTGAGGGAACTTTTACTTATAGAAAAAAAAACTCCGGGGGAAAATACGAGTGATATGGTACTTTCATTAGAAGTTCACAGTCGAAACTTGTAAATTAAGAGATGACATCGTTTCATTTTCATTTAACTTTGAGGTTAAAGAAGCTATACTAGCTGTCGCCTGTGATTCCGTCCGCGAGGAATTAAAAATTATAATAACCTATGTTGTTCCAGACTGTGTTCCATATCTATGCTATATTTCAGCGAGATCTACGTAACCATTCTGGAGATATCTTCTAACAAACATCCATCTATCCATCCATCCAAACATTCGCATCTATGATGTTAGTAAAAAACACATTAAATTGGGTAAAAATGGTTTAAGTAACGTGTTACAGTATCAAATAACCCTTACCCTCCTATTAGTCGGGCAAAACTTACGGGTTAGAAGGCGGTCTCTGCAGATAGAGATGTAAGAAGAGTCGCCAGAGTGCGAGGTGTGCGTGGTGGTGGTGGGGGGCGGACAACACCGCGCTGGCTGTGCGGTACACCACCAGCTCGTCAGAACTTATGGTACAACCTATTTGCTGGAAAAGTATTACATGCAGTTCATACAGCCATCTCTCTCATTACATTTGAAAGAACAGAGACAACATAACACTTTGATATACTAAACACTTTCGATGCTACTGTGATTTTCACCAACTAAAGCTTACATGAACTTGGCACTGAATGTGTTAGGTTACTGATTTATCTTCATATCAAAATACGGTAAAAAAATATCATGTAATTACATACAATTTGAATCTATGCAATAATCATTTTATTAAATATTAAACATTAATAAATTTACTATAAATAATCTTATCAAACATATTTCTCTTACTCTGAGTACTAACCTTGAGTGCGTTATCAACGTGTACTTTATGTCCGTGCGCACGTTGTTGTGCGAGCGCGTCCGTAAGGCGGGGCCACATGTGTGCGGACAGCTCGTACTGCGCGTGCGCACCTCGCAGCGCCGCCTCGCACAGCAATGGTGCTACTGAAGCGTTACGCACCGCCTCGTCTAGGAATTCTTTGCAATTTTCACCCTAGACATTCAAAATATTAGAAAATGTTACTTCAGAATCCTTAACTACCGCACTTACCTTGGTTTTCTGAGGCCAAAATCTCAATTTAAAACATATTGCTGTCTTTGTTTTAATGATATGATTTTATACAGAGATTTTGGTCTCGGAAATTCATGGTTAGGGTTGTTAATTAGTCACCAAGAGTTATGCGTATGTATAATTCTCATTATTTATCAACACTAAAAGGATCACTTATGGACTATGAGTGTGGTATATAACTCCAACTGGCAGTAAGACTTTAATCGCATCCTAGTATCAATGCTAGGAGCGACTTAAACACACTCGAGAAATGAGAGTTACATTTTCAATAATAGACTTGATGAATCATTCTGTTTCACCTCTCTTATATGATTACCTGTAGCATGAGAGAGACCACAGTGTCTACAGCAGGCACGTCTTCCACAGCTCGCACTGCGGTGTCGAGCAGGGCGCGCGCGGCGCTCGGCAGTGAATGCGCCCACAGACCACGTAACCAAGGGTTTAGTATTCCAGGATTATGTGACCTGTACCACATTGTGATTACTTTTTGATACAGAAGACCGACGACCTTCAAGAGAAGACGAGCTATTCGCGCGAGGCTTCATACGTATGAAATTCCATTGATGATATTTCCATGATAACGAAGGCATTTACCATTGGCTGAAAATTGCCCTTACCATGGCAACTATCCATCTTTGCTGCTATTGGCTTGCAATTTTTGTATAGATAAAAAGTGAAAATTATTTATTAAAATATGTAGAATTGTTTACAAGTTAATTATAATAAAAATATAAGAATTAAGTTAAAAGAAATTTAACTTACTGCGAACTAAGTATTTCATTGAGTAGAGCCTTTTCTAACAGTTCTGCATTGTGGGGTCCGGCGCGACCGAACGCACGAGACATCAGAGACGGGCCGGAGCTCAGCAGTATACTCAATACTTCCGTGAATCTAAAATAAAGCCAATACATATATAAAATGCAACTAGAAAACGATATATTATATGTCCTATGATTTATTTTAATTGAAAACTTTAAGGCATTATTAGTTAGGATCATTTGTGGCAAATGGCGCGCTTTCGTTACCAAGTCTTGTGTCAGAATGATTAGTGAGGTGTCATGAACGTCGACATTTTAGTAAGGCTAGTGTTGTGCCAGTACACCGGCACACTGTCAGATTTTCTTCCTAACATAACTTACTCTGGTGTAAGCGCAACAGACTCTGGCGTGTGCTGCACAGCGCGCATCATGGCGACCAGGCAGCGCGCCGCCACGCCCGGCTGCGCCTTCGCCACGCCCACCAGCGCACGCACACCCATAGAGCATATCTGCAAATATTTACAAACATTACAGGACTGTGGGCTTGTATAAGTATCCTACCATAATCTTACTGTTGCAAACAAAACACGAAAATTTATTGAGAACTAGCTAAAGCCCGCGGCTCCGTCCTTGCGGAATTAAAAAAACTCACTAAGTAGCCTATGTGTTCTTTCAGACAATGTTCTATTTCTATGTCAAATTTAATTGAGATATGTCGGGCCTTTTTGGAGATAACTTCTAACATACATACATCCATCCATACACCAAACGTAAGAAATAAAATTACATAAAAGTGAAAGTGTTCTTACTAAAGGTACAGAATGACCCCAACTGGTGGCTAACAGTGCGAATGCAGTGGAGAACAAATCCTGAGGTTCTGTGTCGGGGGGCGGGGCGTCAAGCGACACCGCCCACTGCGCGCGGTGCACGTGTAGCCTCTCCAGCACAGACCACGCCCACTCGCGACCCTCTACGCCCATTCGGCGCAAGTACTCGCAAAGCCACGCCCCCATCGCCAGCTGCGTTTCCAGTGATACACCTCTGTGGATATTTAAATAATGAATCGACTAATAGATCTAAAGCATCGGTGACTCGGGGGTTAAGCACTTGAGTTGTAATCTGCAGGTCCTGGGTTTGAATCCCGCCATGTGTTTTTCGAATATTAATGTACGTGCATACATTTATCCGAAGTTCTTACAGTGAAGGAAAACATCGTGATGCACTTGCACATATCTGCGAAGTAATTCAAAGAAGTCAACCTGCACTGCCAGTGTGATGTGACTATGGCCTAGTCACTCCTAACTTGAGGTAGGTTCCAAATCCCTCAGTAGGGGACATGTAGTGAGCTGATGATGATGATGATACAAAATGTCTTACTGATGTGGGGTATACTCCATCTGCAGTAGAAGATGTTCAATAAGATGCGGACACTTCAGTGCCCAGTCCTCCAGCACACCCAGCACTTCCTCGGAGTACGGACGCCACTCTTGCACAGACAAGTAGCTGACTGCTGATGGATCTAGGGGTTCACCTATGCACACGGTTTTTTTATTTATTATTAGTAAGATTCAGACCATTTGCCATAATTATTGACATTTCGATCCACAAGTAAACAAAAGTCAAATTTAAAATTAAAATGATGCAATATTGTAAGAGAGTAAAGTTTTATAATTACGTTATAATAAGCATCTTTAGTGTGAATTTAGTAAAAATAGTTTGGATTGGATCCAATTAAAAACATAAAAAATATATATTTTGCAGTTAAAATTACCTTGATTCAAATCTGCCAGTACATGCAGACCGATGGCGTGAAGATAGGGATGTGCCGCGAGTATGCGAGGCAGAGACTCACGTGCGGCTACATCGCATGGCTGCCGACACCACTGGGGTTTACGCTTCACTGCTGTCTGTTCATTGACATACTTCACTGTCATTGGTATCATAGACACAGAGGGCGTGACTCAAAGCCCCTCCCCCAAAAAAAATCCAATTGAAATTAATAATACTTCTAATCCAGCAGCTTATTCTGATACAAGACTCAATGCAATTTAAATTATTTGCCGACCGCTACTTCTTGATCGCTGCATTCTTTTATAACAGTTTTTGACAAAGAAAACTGGAGTCCAAATCCCTTTTAATTCCCCTCCTACTTCTTCCCCATATCTGTCAATGCCATATGAAGTTAAGTGATTTGTCCGACCTGGCATAGGAACTGCAGCAGTATCCGAGCAAGTTCGTGGTCATCAGCGCGATCAATTCCCGCCTGCAGCAGAATACGGACGCGCACGTCGCACCGCACCACGCCCACGTCTACGTCGAGCGACGCGATGCGATACGCCCCTTTCTCTACATGACAAAAATTATATTTTTAAATGCATCCATACATTTCCGATTTACATATTATATGTACATTTGTCCGACGTTCTTACGGTGAAGGAAAACATCGTGATGCATCCTGCACATATCTGAGAAGAAATTCAAAGATATGTGTGAAGTCAACCCGCACTTGGCCAGCGTGGTTGACTATGGCCTTGTCACCCGTAACTTTGGGTAGGCTCCGAGCCCCTCAGTGGGGACGAATAGTGCTGAGTTGCTGTCAGTTCAGTCAGAAAATATAATAAAAACCTACTTAGACACAGAAAAGCACACAAGTCAAGAAAGCCACAGTCCGACGAGAAATTTTACATCACTATTCTGACAGGTTTGAATTAAGAAATAAAGACTCACCATGTAATGTGGCGATGAGACCGAAGCAGTAGTCTCTCGCGGTGGCATCGCTGAGCAGCGTTGCCGGTAGCTGGGTCAGCTCCTTACCCTGATGCAGAAGAACACCAGCCACGAACAACGCCTCCAATTCTGCCTGTACCCTCTCCGCAACCTCGGGGTTGTACACATACCTATACACAATTTTATTTTATACATTACTCTTAAATAAATAAAGCCAGGTACATATGTAACTTTAAGATCCGATTATAAATAAAACACAACTATTATTATGTTTCACATGAAAAAACGTGCAATATTTATCAAATGCTAATAATTTAGACCACACAACGGCCACGTGAATCCTCAGTGAATCTTAATCCATCCTACCTGGATCGTAGATGTAACGCGGCGACAAGTTGCAAAGCGCACGCGCACAACTCCGTTAGTTCCCGTTTCAAGCGTGCATAATGTGCGTGCACGTGCACAGCACGCTGCAGCACGGCCAGCAATGCGCGCGCACCGCACGTCGCTTTCAAGACGCCGTGCCCTCCGGAACCATCACCCCATTCATGCTCCTCCGTACTCTCTATGTCCTGAATGAGAAGTAAATTTCATTCTTTTTTTAACCCCCCACACGTCACAAATATAAATTAATCGTAGTGGCTAAGAAAGTGTTACATATCTCGTCGAGAAGGAAGAAGACGAGGAAAAGACTAATCTTGTTGCACCACCAGATGAAAAGAATCTGGCAGGAACTGGATACGTCGTTTTGGAAACCTCTACAAGTTAAAGAACTATAAAAAATACAATAACTCAACATAATACCCACCGATCTGTTGAAGAGCGCCATCTTGGCCAACAGTTGTCTCAGCGGCAGTGCCTGCAGCAGAGCCAGGGCGTCGCGTTCGCGCAGCAGCCCCTCCCCCACCGCGCTCCCCTCCCCACTCCTGCCTACCTCCTCCCAACTCTCCACCAGCTCTGGATACCGGAAAACATCGCATATTCTTTTCTACTATAACTACGGACCTCAATCCATAGAGGTTATTACAATCATAAACAAAATAGAAGTTATTCTATTTTGATGATCATCAATGCCATTTGTTTGTAATTTAACTAGTCAGATTACATACAAGCAGCGACATACACATCAAAAATAAGTTGTGTTTATATAAGATTCAAATATAAAAATTATAATATTATAGTGTACCTTCGGTGCATTCGACCGCAGTCTCCAGTCCTGGTCTGGCCAGCATCAGCTCAAGTAGTGCGATGGCCCGCGCCGCGCTGGACACGTCTGTCACTTGCACGCGCAACACTCGTGACGCCCAACGTACCGAACGATTTTGTCTGCATAATTATAGATACTATGTTTATATCTTACTAACATAATGTGAATGTTTGGATGTATGGCATTTGTTAGAAGGTATCTATAAAACAACTGAAAACTATTTGATATAGAACGCAGACTGGAAAAACACATAGGCTACTAATAAAGTTTTTTTTATTTCTGCGCGGACAGAGTCACGGGCGACAGCTAGTACTAGTATAACAAACACTTGTTGGTAGGAAGTTGTTTGAAGAAATATAAATAAAAAGTACATAAAACTTATAACATGTGATAAAATAAATTACACATGTTGTATATAGTTTACTAATAAGTAAATTTCCTTCTATGGCTTATATGTACAGTCAGCTACATTAATATGTATACACTTAAAAAAACTTCAAACACTAGTATGCTTTCGGTTTAAAAAATATTTATACACACCCTTACAAAAACTTCCTATGATTGTACATTATTGACGAATTCGGACATACAAATTTTTTAAACAGAAGACCTATTCAAGTATCCAAAAAATTTATAAATATATATATATGAAGCTGACTGTACATATGTCATTCAAATTACATCAGTACATATAACATACCTGAACAAATGGTGTATAAGAAATATCAAATGCCTTAAATCTCTGGTATAGAGTAACTTAGCAGCCAGAGCAACCACCCAGCGTTGTAAGGAAGCTGAGTACACTTCCGAAGCACCATCACTAAGCCGCAGAGCTTGCAGTAACAAGGAGAGAGCTTCACGTATTTCACCCATACCACTCTGTATTGTCATATACACCAACTCTTCTATCTTTAAAAACAAAGGTACAATTTTTTTTAAATAATTGATTTTGGCGAGGAATCTGTTATTTGATTGATTCATTCATATTTTTCTACAGATGCAATAGCCTATCAATATTGATTAGATTTAGCATGGATGTAGAACATAGTCAGGATGATCACATAGGTTAGTAATAAGTTTTTTCTTTCATTCCACGCGTTCAGAGTAGCGGGCGACAGCTAGTGCTTTATAAGAATATATAAATACTGACCTGGTAGTATGTCATTAAAGCTGTGTGCTGATGATGACAATAAGACTCTTGGACGTCTCGAGCCAACGCTTCTAATCTTAATCGAGCAGCCGGTATCTTGTCCGTTTGTAATGTAGCAGTTTCAAATGTGACTTGTACACTTACACTCTTCGCACACGATGGACAACATTCTGATGCAAATGCTCTCTCCTTTTCAATCTTCCATAGTTGTGATCTAGATTTTTCTTCCTGGATAAATCCCTGACTGATTGTAGTCCCTTCATGGTCCATAGCATTAAGAGATGATCTACAATAGATTTAGGTACATTATGTAATGTTGTTATAAGCAACAGATGGTCAGGGGTTAAGCATTCAACTTGTATTCTGCAGGTCCTGAGTTTGAATCCAGTCATGTACAAATGTGTTTACATATGTACATGTATCATGTTCTTACAATTAAGGAAAACATCGGGATATGACCTGCAAGAAATTTTAAAAGATATATATGTAAAGTCAAACCAACCCTTACCAGGCTAGAGTGGTTGACTATGGCCTAACCACCCCTAACTTAGAGTAGTAGGCTGCAAGCCCCTCAGTAGGGATGTATAGTGAGCTGATGATGATGATGTTATTTTATTATAATTTATAGCATGCTTGTTTCACACCTTGTTATTAAAAAAAAAATTACCTAAAAGATGAAAGTAAATCGACAAGTGGATGTTCTGGACCACTCACAGGACCAGCTTCAACAATAGCCTCTTCTTTCTCCGATATAGCTCTCACTTCAGATACTTCCGCACCTCCGAAAAGTCTTACAGCTTCTTCCAAAGGCATGCATTGTATTTTATGTTTAATTTCTTCAGTAATAATACACTGTGTATTAAAAGCAGAAGGTTTTGCTATACTATTTTCTTCCTCCTCAAAGATGGGAGCTGAAGGTATATCACTTTCATTTTGTGTGATTTCACTAGATAGACATGTAAATTCTTCAGTATCAATTTTGACATTACTAGTAGACACGGTTTGTTGTGTGCTTGATGGATTAATTTGTTCATATTCATCTTGAACATTTATTGGATCTTCCTTTTGTGCTATAAATTTATTCTCAGACTTTAAAGTTACTGTAGCTATTGTAGCAGAAAGTTCTGTGTTATCTTTCTCTGATGTTTTATGTTCCTCTTTTGTGTTTTTTTCTTCTTTTGTTTTCTCTTTAATGTTATCATCCTCCAATTCTTCCGGTACTGGTATATTTATGTTCTGTTTCTGTCTAGTTTTCTTTTTCTACAATTAAATATATGGTATATAATATAATTCATGAACAATAGTAAACATTGATTTTAATAAATAATTTTGTATGCGACGTATGTTATGTGACCTTTATAACATACTATATATAGGAAATAATTTTGGAGTAAGTAATATTTTAAACATGAAACACGACCCGTTTAACGTAAACTTAAGATATAAAAAAAGATTTAAGTTAAAATTTCGACATCAAAAGTAACAGTTAAAGTATTTTTTAACAATGTAATGTTGATGTAATTCATACATTGTAAATATATTTTGTACATCAATATAGTAGTGCGTATATTATTGGAACAAAGACTTTTTCGTATATTACGTACATCTTTTCGTTTTTCCTTGACCATAGTTGCCATTTTTACTCGATAAATAACATTTAGTTGTTTGGAATATGTACTTCACAATTTTTTCCTTTACAAACTGGTGCTGTTTCTAAACAAATCTGCACATAAAAAATCAAAACATTGTTGATATGATGAGACTTGGACTTGACGTTGACACCTGAAATCAATTTTGGCAGCTAATTTTTTTTTTAATTTTATGACCTGGTAACATAGACCTTTAGGTCATTTGACAGCTAATCCGCTGGAAAACCCAAAGAGTGTAATCGAGAAAATGCAATAAAATTTTCATAGAGTGTTTAAATTCTGTCAATGCTTTGTCGCGATTCCCGATTGTAAATCTGTTTTATTTTATAAAAAAAATTCTGTGTCGTTTAAAAAACGAGTAAGTTGTTTAAATAAATTTTCAGTTTCTTTTAATGTATTTTTTACACATATATCCGAGGAGTGGGCAAATATTATGAAATATATTAATACCATATAAACTTATATATAGATTGATAATTTTGACCTCAAAAGTAAGGCTAGTTAGAAGGCTTATAGAGGTCTTTTTTGGCTTTGTTGTCGTAAATTTTGCCAGTTTTTTCATTTACATTACAATATTTACAAAAGTCGAAATAATTGGACAAATTAATAATATTGGGAAAACACGTAATTGTTAAATATTGCGCAATCCAAAGAACAAAGTACCTACAATTTGTGTATCTGTATATAATGCACATTGTGTGCGTCATGCAAGGGGATCACCACGTACGGCGGATAGAACCAATTACGCACATTATTTTATAACCACCACGGCGAGGGGGAAGGGATAACACTTTAATAACAACCTTAGCTCGTGGTAAAAACAACGTTGTATAAGTCATAAACATATCACTATCAAAATAAGAATATTAGAATTAAGCAAAAGACTTGGCTTTGGCAAAATTACCACAATTTATTACCAGCCATTTATTTAATAAATGTCTCCTAGGAAACACTTTAAATCTTTGGATTTATGATAAAAAACCATTATAACATTTGATATAAATTTTTATTGAAGAAAAATGTTTCAACAAAAAGACAACATCGTGATTCTATATGCCATATGGTGGCCAAAGCAAATAATTAAAAGGTAAGTATAACAATATTTGTTGACAGACATTCCAATATTTGAACCAAAGGGTATAGGATCATTGGACGCGCTTACAAACATTCGACACCATGTGACAGACACAGAGATGGATTACAAACATTTGAACATAAATCAGCATAACCACCTCAATATTGGCTAAAATTTAATCATTTTTAAGAAAAAAACACTGACTATTCAACAAAAACAATAGATTTTATTTTAAAAAATGCAGGCGCATTCGTTTATAATATAAAACGAGTAAATAACCCGTTATTTTTAATTCGAGACTGATTTAAGGTTTCAGAAATCGTTAAAAGAAATGTAGTCAAACAATCAAATAACGATAACTGAACTGGTAAGAGAGGCGCTGCTATCGCCATTAGTTGTGACAGAGTAAATATAAAACTTACTTAGAAGTAGGAAATGACAAAAAAATATTACATGACAGCATGACAGCTACCGTACAAATAGGATCTTTAAAATTGTTGACGTTAACAAGGGGCACTAGTGAGCTGTCATAATTTAGTTTGACTCATGTTCACCGCATCAGTTACCGTGGGTTTCTGAAGCCGAAATCCCCGTTTAAAACTTATAACTATCTCTGTGTTGTCAAAGGTAATGACGGGGCCGACGATATGTTTTATACAGAGATTTAGTTATCAGAAACCTACGGTTAGACTTATCGGTCTCTACAACCTATGTAACCTACATAGATTATACGTATGCAATGTAAAATCTTCCTTTTAGAACGAAATCTAACATTTTGGAGCTACGATGGTGCTTGCGGCTGCATGTGCTCTTGATATGGTAAATTTTCGTCTTCGTACTCATGAGAATGCTGCGTCACTATGAAAATTGGTGATTTCATCTTGCGATGTACCGGTGAAGTAGATGTAAAACTTTGTGTTTGACTCGTGCTACCTTGCATTTTAGCCTTAAACATAATATTATCAATTTCGTGCATGGCAACATCTCGTTGATGTTCTTCCAATTTTCTTAATTTCTTAGCTAATAGTTGCCCATACAAATCGTATTCATCAAAATTTTTAATCTCTATAGCCTTTTCCAAATCCTGCGGTTCTTCCTTAAAATCCTTCTTGACAAAAACAATGTTCGAATTTGCTTTCTTAGGTTTAGCATTTGCTTGAGGAAATGTTTTCGTTGAATATCTTGAGACAGTATTACTTTCATTTGAATTACTTCTTGTACCAATATTTGTTTCTGTTACCAATTGTTGATGCGATGGAGCGTGTGTAGGATTATTGAAAAGCTGAAAGAAATACACTCTCGTATACCTCTTGTGGTAAATAAGGCAAAATGGCATAATGTAGTAAAAGCTTTGAATTAATATGTAGTAATAAATTAGGATGTAGCTTGCAATATACAACATATGTAAAAAAAATTTTACCTTATAAAGTACAAATGTTGTATTATTCTATTCAATTATCCAAATTAAAAGTAAAAAATACAATAAATAAGATAAAAAGAATAATATTTTAAAATATACCTGTTGTTGCATTTGACTTGTACTATCACATTCATAATTCCCGCCAAGAAAACTTTCCATATGCGAAAACAGAAACCATGTAGGTTGATAGTCACCACATCTTTTCTTTTTTCTATTCATATGCATTCTAAAAGATGTCATTAACGATTCCTTTTTCTTTTTAAGATCTACCACTGAACAATCCATAGAAAAAGAAGCTTGGATTCTATTCCATGCTGCCGTAATATCACTTCTTGTTTTATGTGCGGGGTTTTTAGGATCCCATAGAACTGGCTCTTTACGATATAGATCCAAAAATTCTAATACCTGGCTATTTGTCCACGCCATTATCTAATTTTACTGAAATTAATCGGTCTAATTAACAAATATACGTCTGTACAAAACTCCAACTAGAGGAAGACTAAGCAGGCAACCAATCAGAACCGGCGTTGTATCCAATGTTTGTTTATTATAGTCGTGTGCAGTTGTGAACTGGCTCTAAAGTTCAGCTCACAATGACACATACCGTTGAGCTGCGACTCATATACTAAATTGGCAGCTCGCGGCACACTGCGATGTACTATAAATATGCAAGCCGCCGAACCACGAGTTAGCCGGCGAGTTTCAGAGCGTCCAATTACACTGTTCGCTAAATTATTAGTTTACAGGTATAAATTGAGCTCAGCTGCAAACTGGTGCACAGATCTGCTTAACACATGCGAACAACAATATGAGCTGATCTCCAGGTCATCATTTTTGGTTGAATTAAACATGATTAGTTACTAAGTATGTCGACCTCGTTCCACAAACTGCGCGTCGATCGATGTTCGGCTTCGAATGTTTGCGTTGGCGATGTTGGCGACCAATCAAGAATGTTGGCAAACAAAGCAATGTTTTTTCCCGTATCCTCACCACACCTGTCCTTTTTCTTATCTATCCCAAATATTTGTGAATATTGGGATTTAACATGTTTACGTCTAAAAGCGATTTGAGCTGATAATATAAGTGCGAATTTGACAGTATTTTCTTGTTATGTTGTCTACTTATGGTTATTGAGTTATTTCTACTGATATTGCGTATAAAAGTGATTCACGACCTAAAACACTATATGGAATGTCTACATAAAATACATACTTCGGTCATACGTGGTGATTCGAGAGGGCACCTCGTAATGTTCACTGTTCAAAAGTTCAAAGTCCAATTTCGAACAAATATTCTACAAACAGTGGGTAACTTTTAGCTAGTGGGTGCTATCAAGTAAACGAGTGAGCGACAACAGTGCGTAATTTGCAGCCCGGCTCTCGGTTCGGTCGGCAACGGCTTCAGTTAGCGACAGACGTTTGCCAGTGATATCAGTATTCAGTACTCAATAGAAGCACGAATATCTTTTTTTTTCAATAAATATACACTGCACATTACTAGTGTCATCCACTCGGAAGTTAAGGACAGAAATCGGCCAGTTTAAATGTGAGTATATAATTAAATTTACTTGCACAACAAATTGCATCATTAAAATGTTGCTTACTTTACCGGATACATGTTGATTAGAATTGGAAGTTGACTTAGCTAAATTTAGAATTGCAATAATGCAATAAATATGTTTTGATTGTCACTTTAATGTAGATTTTATTTGAAATTACTTAATTCAATGTTTTGAAGTTATATTTCTGATGTAATAAGTACTGAAGGTCTACCAAATTTAAACAAATCATTCATATAAGCTTTTCTTTTAATAATTTATGTCTTATTTCATATTTTCATGTAGTTATATGGTGTTATGTTTATAAGTACCCTCATACAATTTATAATTTTCCGGTTTAATCTAGATGGCAATGGAAGTAGGTACATCACCAACTGCACTGTCCCAGTTGCAGTCAGTTCAAAAGGTCATGGCAATGCCCACAGTGGGTGCGGCGGTGGGTCAAGTTGGAGCATTCTATACTAAAGTTAAGGGTAAGTAAATTTTAACATAAAATTTTACTTAGGTAACTTAATGTTGCCAAGCATCTGGTATGGTATGCAAAGATAGTACACATTAAACCTGTGCTAGACCAAACATTTCTTATAAATTTTATTACTTAATTCTTATAGGTAATGTCTACCCACCTTTTAGTATCTTGTATAAAATGTCATTCTAGAAAGATCTGATAAAGGTAGTTTTAAATGTTAGTATTTCTGCTTATAGCGCTGGCTATATGTATAATTCATTAAGGATATCAAAGTTTAAATGACTAAAATGAAATGCTTTAATTATTGTTGACATACTGGTCACTTATTCTTTTGTAGCAGCTTTATAATGCAGCGTAGAAAAAACATATCGCAGTTATTATTTATAAAGATTTCAAGGACAAACAATTTGAAAGTTTTATGGGCAGCTAAGAATTTAATATGTAATGTACATTTATGATTCGATAATTATTTTTTCTTTTGTAATAATCATTTATTTATTATTTTCACTCAAATTATTAAAACTGTTTTCCAAAAATATCAGAATTTTTATGTATATTGGAACACAAATTCAAGTCAACTAGTTTGATAACATATTTCATGTATAATTAAATTAAGGAATCTACATTCAATATTTAAATTAAAACAAAAAAAAATAATTAACTTCACACTATCAACTTGCATATAAAAAAAAAGTCAAAACATGTTATGAAATGTAGGTATGTTTATCAAGTAACATTTAAACATTGTTCAATAATTTCCTCGTTCACATATTTCTTTTGTTTTAAAATCTTTATATAGAGGTTACCATGTTTATAAAATACTAATGGACGCCTGCGACTTCATCAGTTTAGAAAACATTTTTTTTTATAATGTTTGTTCAAGATAGGCCACTTCTAAGTAGGATTGTCCTACCCAAATCAGTATGTTAATATAATAGATTAAAAATAGTTTTTTTATTCTTGTCTAAGAACAAAGATCTTACAATCAGTCAGTTCTTTGGTGATATAAAATTCAATAGTGACAATCAAGATGTGTGTTGTTGTTTTTTTTCAATATAAATATTATGCATGAATTGCAATATGACACAGCTGTATTGTTTCTTTGTTAATAACTCTAGGAATCGTATTTTGTTTTTTTCTTTGCTGCCATGTTTATTTTATACTAGCCAGTCATATCATGTGTTTACGGCAGTCAGAAACAAGGATGCAATGTATGGATTTAGTAACATCTTATCTTACTAATATTATAAATGCTAATGTTGGGATGGATGGTTGTTTGAAGATATCTCCGGAACAATAGTATTGATCTCGCTGAAATTTGGCATACATAGAGAACATAGTGTGAAAGAACAGTGGGCTACTAATTAAGTTTATATTTTCCACGCGGAGGGTGTTTCGAGCGATAGCTACTTGTTTCTTAAAGTCTATATACTAGGCCCACAGCGCTGGTCCCAGGTTAAAGGAATGCACCGAGATCATATGTTCATCATCAGCCTATGTCGACCTAGTACTATATGAATCATTTCTTTCCTAGGTGCCCACTCGTTGTTAGAATGGGCATTATCAACTGCAGAAGCCAGCGTATCCCTGGCTGCGGCGACTGCAGCGCCATACGTGGCCAGCCCCCTGGCCGCTGGAGATGCTAAGATGGCCGCGGTCATTGACGAACTCGGCCGTCGCGTGCCCATTGTTAACGAACAGCCCAAGGTCATCGTGGAGACAACTAAACAAGCTGTTATTGCGAAGATATCGCCGCATGTTAATAAGGTAAGATTTAATTGCAAAAATTAAGTGGCTATAAATATGGCCACTCCTTTTAATTGGGTATATTTCCTTTGTTTTTACATTCTAAGAGTCAGTATTCATATAAACAGGATGTTTCTATAAAGCGGTCGATCCATTGTTTAATATGTTCGCTGCGCAAATGAATTTCATGAATTTAATCAAGTGAAAATTAGTTTCGACGCCATTTCGACCTTCTTTGTGAAAGGGAAATACTGGCCGGATATATCAAAAAAATGAATCTAAAATAACCCGGACTTGCACCCGGATATTTGCATGTTTCTTTGTCATATCGCGCTATTACCAAATAAACGCGGAAATTTTTCTTGTCGATAGCGAACAATATTTTTTTTTATTTACCTTCCTATATTGATTATAAAAATTTTATCAATCTAAATTATGAATGCATCAATTTAACAAAAGAACGGAGTAAGCAAAATGAACAGAATTTGCAGGAAAAAAATAAAAACAATTCTATTTCTGTAAAAATTTTAAAAATTGTAGCTTGTCTCTCTTTTCTTTATAGAGAAAGAGAGAGATGATAGATATGATATTATGCAAGTGATTCTATAATAAAAACTCAGTAATTCAAATTTGGAACGTTTGTTACACGAACGTTTAACAGATAAATGATGTTTTTTTTTTATTCAATACCAGGATAAGATAAAAACGTTTGTGATAACTTATCTTGGACAATGAACCGGAATGAATAGACCTTCGGCACTAACGGTTTTTACTTATTTTTAAAGTTTGATAACATTGTAAATATTCTTAATAGGATGTTGTTAAATATTCATTGATGTTTTCAAATTAAAAAAAGAAATCATATGTATATACCTTATTATGAGCTCTATTTAAATCTGTTAGAAAAATTGTAGCGAAAGGATTATTCATTGACATACAAGCTGTCGCCCGCAAGGTCGTCCGCGCGGAATTAAATAAAAACGTAATTAGAAGCATATGTGATATTCTAGGCTATGTTCTACATCTATGACAAAGATGTCTTCTAACAAACATCCATCCAAACATTCACATTTATAATATTAGTAAGATATCAGTTTGGGGTTTTATTTTTTACTTTTATATATAAAAACAATCAAACGTGACTATTTTAATTTCATGTTATCTAAATGACATTAGGAATTGCTATCGGATTAAATCAATCCTTATTATAAGGATAAATTTACGTAAACTCAGTCCGACATTCAAATGACATTCTAGAATAAGTCCGTTACAAACTGATTCACAATTTGCATCTTATAATATTGTCTGTCATTTGTTATGACTAATATTGTCACATAGTTTCAAGAAAACTAACCGCGATAACTCAATGTCACCGGGCCGAATAAGTTTTTAGGACTATAGTCTTCTCTTGACTGCTAAATTGAGCGATGACCAAGAATGTTTTCATTTTTTAACAAGGGCTGCAGTTGAAGTGCAAAGATTTAAGTAGTACTTCGAAATATTAAGGTGCCTATAATCTCTATCCACAATTTTCAGAATGAAAGATTTTTTACTATGTACTAGCACTACCGTCCATTCTTTGATTATCGGCTGTTGACTCCCTTACTTCTTACTTAATATTGTAAATGCGAAAGTTTGAATGGATGTATGTATGTTTATTACGTAAATTCAAAACAGCTAAACAGATCCAAATGAAAACTAGTACAGATGTAGATTTCAGTCTGGAATAAAGTCTAGGCTATAAGCTTATGGTATTTTTTGTGTTTGTAGGTGTTTGTTGCGCGTGCAGCGGCGGAGCAGCGCGTGCATTCACTGAAGGAGCTGTCGTGGGCGAAGGCGAACGCGCTGTTGAGTACGGCGTATGGTCAGCGCGCGCTGCACGGCGTCGACGCCGGCGCATGCTACGCCATGAAGCTGCTCGACCAGTACCTGCCGCCTGTTGAACCTCAGCCAGACCACACCGGTCAGTCATTACCTTACACGACATGTAAGTGGCTGTCCACTGAACATATATTAACATATTTTCTTCACCATCATCATCAACCTGTCCTTTTTCCTACGGAGGTTTTGAACAGTATGTACTTCTACTCCATACATCTCTAACAGCCTCTATATTCATAAGAAGGGGTGAATATATATTTGATTTTGCTCAGTTATTGAAAACTGAATGTAATATCCAGACTTTTAGTCAACTGTAACTAACTATTCATACTTATAAACTCACTCTTTGAACTTACATGAAATGGAGAGTAAATCGCAAGCTCCGTTGCTAGATCGATATGAACAATCTCGTCAAATTTCATATCTTTGAAATTCCGCGATCTCTCCCGCGCCCTTGTGTAAGTAATAGCACTCACGGTAGGTTTCTGAGCCTAAAATATCTGTATAAAACATATCGTTTTAAATAGAAATTCTGTTCTCGGAAACTCACGGACGTTACGCAAGATGATAGTTTTAGACATGATAGAAATGACAATGTCTGTATGTGTGTTGCAGGTGATATAGTGGAGGCGGAGCGCGACCCCGCGCTGCACACAGTGCAGACAGTGGGGCGGCTGAGCGCGGTGGCGGCGCGGCGTGTCTGGGCCAACCTCGCAGCACGCGTCAACCATCTCAGAGCTAACGGTAATAAACATGTTTACAAGAAAGCGTTTTGAGAGTCGGTGGCTCAGGGGTTAAGCACTTGACTCGCAAGCTGCAGATCCTGGGTTCGAATACCGCTATGTATGTGTTTTTAGAGATGAAAATATCTTAGTCCCTTTGAATCTCGCTTATCCAGTTTCAACTGTATTATAAACATATTTTATCAAACTATTAAAGACTAACTGTCGCACGTGACTCCGCCTTGTTGTCTTTCAGAATATGTTCTACATCAGTGCCATATTTCATCAAGATCCGTTGAGCCGTTCCGGAGATACCTTCAAACAGACATCCATCCATCCAAACATTTGCATTTATATTAGTAAGAAATAAGATTAAATATAAAATAAATCCTGTTTTATTTAATATGAAAAACATTTAATCTCAACAGGTGTAGAATTAGACGTGCGTCGTTACATAACCGCATTACTAGCGGCGGTTCACCTCGCCACTGTCACCAGCGAGCAGCAGCAGCAGGAGCGCGACACAGACACAGAGCAACCCCGCCCCGCACACCCCGCGCCCACAACACACGCCCACCCCGCGCCCACCTCACACACAGCGCCCACCTCGCCCACCTCGCCCACAACCGCCACTAAACTTAAATCTACACCTGAAGCTAAGTCCACTAAACCAGAGGACTCGGAACTATAATTTCTTTTTTTTTATACTGTCTCACAGTCACTAAGGGACTGTTTAACTCTGTGTGGTAGTATATATGTGTAAGGTAATTAAGTACACCACAAAGAACATACTAATACTTGTATGTACGTTGTTTTGGTGTTTATATTATAAGGGAACAAATATAATCGCATATTTATATAATAAAATGTACTGAAATTATATTTATAATAAAAGTCTGTCTTTTGGAATTAATGTTGAAATGAATGTTTTTGCGAAACATTTTTTTTTAAATCTATAAATTATTTTGTATTGTCAATTTTTATAATTATATTTTGGAATTGATGTATTTATTTGTTTTATTTAAATGAATCCTATGGAGTTTAAAATAATTAAAATGTTTATGAAATACTAGCTGTCGACTGCGAGTCCGTCCGCGCGGAATTAAAAAAAAATTAATAAGTACCCTATATGTTCTTCTAGACTATGTTCTACATCTATGTCAAATATCATCAAGATCTGTTCAGCCGTTCTGGACCTGGACCTTCTCACAAACATACGTTCATCTAAATGGAATTTATAATATTATTAGTTAAAAAAACAGTAGGGTATTTGAAATAAATAAAAATCTAATTTCAATAGTTTAATTCATAGTTTAAAAACAGCTAATATCAATATTTGCGCGCCGTTGAACATACTCTTAAGATAAAAATATAGACGATATGATATTTTAGATATGAGATATTTATCTGAGAAAATTTACTTTGAACATTCTTGTTTCCTTAGATTATTATCAGTGCCAAAGAATTTTTTACATACGTGTAAAAAAAATTGGTAGATTTTTTCAATACATTGTTAATTTTTTTTAATTTAATGTTTAAACTGATATAAAAACGGCTAAACACTCACGTATATTCGTCCGGTGACGGCACCGACTAGTTACGAGCCCATAGGGGGCCATCGCTGAGTGAGCTGAGGGCCGCGTCCGCGAAATAATACCAGTCCCACTCACCCTGAATAAGGGCCCCTGATGGGCTCGAAACTAGTCGGTGCCGCCACCGGACGAATATAAGTGAGTGTTTAGCCTTTTTATATCAGTTTATTATAATGTCTCGCGTATGTTTGAATACTTTAATGTTTACTACAATTTCAATATTAATTTACATATATTGCCCTTACAAAGTCTTAAGCAAAAATAATTTGCTAATTTAAAATGCATTCAATTATATCATAGGTTAAATTTTTAAAAGACAAAAAGCTAAAAGCTCAATACTTTTGGCACACAGTTGATAAAGTTTCACAAAGTATATTTTAAAATAGTACAATAAAATAAGTAACAGCTGCCTCTAAGCTTAACTTATAAAGTTAAAATCTACGCGATAATAACTAACATATTAGAACCACTGTGAGTCTAAAACTTACACAAAAAACTGGAATATAAATGTTATAACAAAACAGTTTATTCTTTAACCGTGAGTTTCCACTATCGAAACACTTAAATTAACACATATCGTAATACTAGCTGTCGCCCGCGACTCCGTCCGCAAGGAATAAAAAAACTTGATTAATAACCTATGTGTTCCAGATTATGTTCTATATTGTTTGGAAGAAAATCCGAAAACGAGCCAGTTTGACTCAACACTATCCTTACTAAAATGTTGACGTTTATGTCCCCTCACTAATCATTCTGATACTGGACTTTATAACGAAAGCACGTCATTCGCGCCAAGTGATTTTAACTAATAATGTCCAAAAATATGTATGCCAAATTTCATCGAGATCCGTTCAGCCGTTCTGGAGATACCTTCAAACAAAGATCCATCTAAACATTCGCATTTATAATATTAGTAAAAGGTATTTCGTATTCCGATTGTGAGTCGGTCATTACTAAACGAGCCGCGAATGAGAGCGGACGTGTGTCACACAGTCGTGTCTATTAGTTTTTTTTGTAAATGTTACTGCAATGCAAACTCACAGTTATACCAAAATATGATTGACATTTTAATTTTTTAAATGATCTTATCATGTAAATAGACTCACAGTAAATGTTACTACACCTATAAATAATTGGATTAAAATCATTATTTTATTAATATAATCTACATAACGACCATATGGACAGGGTTCTTAACTTATTTAATACTTGATTTAAAAATGTCTAAAGTCACATACGACACTTCTGGTTTATAGACCAAGAGCTAACAGCTTCCAAGACTTTACAATGTTTATTAAAAAACCAATAATAGTTTGTTATTTTTTTTTGCATTATCAACATATTTAATAGTGTTTTGGATAAAAATCAACTTCTTTATAGTTTTTTTTTATTCAAGACCATAAATAAGTCTTACTTTAACAAAGTATTAAACTTTTTTGGTCGGAAAATAGTCCAATCTAGCACCTACATATAATAGAAAGAAAAAGTTTTGCCATACTCATGAATTGTTTTATAGTTAACTAGCTGTCGCCCGTGACTCCGTCTGCGCGAGATTAAAAAAAAACTATTGGTCGCAGCGTAGTGTTATATAGCCTAAAGCCGTTCTCTATAAATGGACTATCCAACAAAAAAAAAGAATTTTTCAAATCGGACCAGTATTTCCTGAGATTAGCGCGTTCAAACAAACTCTTCCGCTTTATAATATAAGTAAAAATTTAAAAATAGGAATCTACACTAAGGTACTCCCTTAGCTATTGTTAACAACTCTGTGACAGTTTGTCAAAAAAACAAATTAAATCGTTAAGAAACATATTAGATATATGTAGAATACATAACGTTATATTTATTCTATTATTTAAATAAGTACATAACATTCATTATTTACCATATTTTAACAAAAGAATAAGTAACTATGGCTTTTTCTTAAACAAAACACCAGTAGAAAAATATTATTACATGTTTTTCAACGAGAGCAAGCGAGATGGCAATATATACTTGTAAAGGTGTTTATACAGTGGAAACCCACTATAAACAACGTATACATAACATTTTAATATCATGAAACATATGTCATTAAAAACAAACTATAGGTCAAATTACCTGTGAATTTTGTAATATAGTAAAATGTAGATGGTCGGACAGAATATGCGAGGATTGTGTGGTCTTGGGCTGGTGGTCTTCTCTGTGTTGTTGCAGCATTACCCGAGACCGTGGTCTTCGAAGAATCCCTGCGGCGTCTCCTCCTGCAACAAGGAATATCACTGAGCCAGTGCCGCTCGTGCTCGCCATTACACTGAGCTATCGCTTTTCGGCTTAATTTACAACTAATCTTATCTATACATATAAATCAAATTGGATTGTCTGTTTGTAATATTGTAATGAACGTTTTTTTACTACATCTATATTAATATATATAGTATAAACGTCAAAATAACTTTTTTTTTTTAATTTTTGTTTGTTTGTTCCGGCTAGTCTCTGATATATCAGAGAAGGGACTTGTTATTGCCAGGTAGCTAATGTAATAAAAATTATTTTATGTTAGATTTTTCCTTGTGTGTGGTTTTTTTTTTAAAAACATTTTTAATAATTGAATTCTATCTATCATGTAGAGGATGATCAAAAGTTCTTTGTACTCTTTCATCATATTGGTTTCAAACGTAATTATTTTATTATAACTAAACTTAGGTTTAACGATTAAGTCTAACTTTTACAATGAGGATCGCTAAAAAGTAAGCCTAAAATTGAGTTTAACCTTGAGTTATAGTATCTCTTGTCTTATATCTGTAAATGAGCAATTCTTGTATACTTAAACCTTACTAAAAATTACAAAAGAGGAAGAAGAAGAATACGAAGAAGAATACTAAGAAGAATACGAAGAAGAATACTAAGAAGAATACTAAGAAGAATACTAAGAAGAATACTAAGAAGAATACGCAGAAGAATACGCAGAAGAATACGCAGAAGAATACGAAGAAGAATACGAAGAAGAATACGAAGAAGAATACTAAGAAGAATACTAAGAAGAATACTAAGAAGAATACTAAGAAGAATACTAAGAAGAATACTAAGAAGAATACTAAGAAGAATACGAAGAAGAATACGAAGAAGAATACGCAGAAGAATACGCAGAAGAATACGCAGAAGAATACTAAGAAGAATACGAAGAAGAATACTAAGAAGAATACGAAGAAGAATACTAAGAAGAATACTAAGAAGAATACGAAGAAGAATACTAAGAAGAATACTAAGAAGAATACGAAGAAGAATACGAAGAAGAATACGAAGAAGAATACGAAGAAGAATACGAAGAAGAATACGAAGAAGAATACGAAGAAGAATACGAAGAAGAATACGAAGAAGAATACGCAGAAGAATACTAAGAAGAATACGAAGAAGAATACGAAGAAGAATACTAAGAAGAATACTAAGAAGAATACTAAGAAGAATACTAAGAAGAATACGAAGAAGAATACTAAGAAGAATACGCAGAAGAAGAAGAAGAATTTAAATATAATTTCCAAAAAAAAAACAATTTAAAAAATATACCGGTACTTAGTTATAACATGTGTTTATTATAGAGACAAGATTTCCAAAATATTACCTTGTGTGAAAGCAAATATATATTAACTTAAAAAAATATTTTGTTAGTAAGAAATATTAGTAAACAATCACTATTAAATATAGTCGAGTTATTCAAAAATAATATTAATATAAAAATATGCACACTACATAAAACAATTAGGTAATCTTCTTAATTTTATAAATAAAAAGCCCTTTTTATTAGAAATGCATACAAATGTATTTTTATTTCAAAAATTGAATACACAGCTTAGAAAAACGATGGATTTTTTGTCCCAACTTTTCTAATCAAAATGAGGACTAACTTTTTAGGCTTAGTACAGTCGCAAAGAAAACATTGATATAAAAATATAGCATGTACAGTCACAAAGTTATTATAAAATATAGTATTTCTTATGAATGTTTGATTGCACCTACCAAAAAAATGCAAAATTTTTATAAAAATTATTATAATTCTATTCATACAAATATAATTTAAAATCAGCGTTTTTTGGTCATCGCTATTTATAATTGTAGGATTTATTTTTGTTGGGAGTTTTTTTTATAATGGAATTTTTCTTCCTAAATTAGAGGATATTTTTTTCAGCAACAGTGGTCGTGATTGGGAAGACAAGGTAATTTTGTAAATTAAAAAAATCTAATTCTCCTTAGATAGATAGCAATTCAAAACGCTGATTTTTAATTCGTAAAAATTATTATGTTAAATACTGCAAAATTATGAACATTTCGATTCTAACCGAATAAAATTAGAAAAAAAAATAACAAAATTATAAAACAATTATAAAAAACAAAAAAAATCTTCAAAACAAAAAATATTAATATTTTAACATTTTTTATCATATTCATAAAGATATCTCACATTTGCATAAAATATAACTTGGAGAATTAATTTAGCTAAAAAAAAATATAACGCACCTTTGTCGGCTTTGGTTTGAATGGCAATAGAAAAATCATATTCATTTTAAATGAAGCAACTAATAGTAAAACTTAAAGCAACTTAACTCAGAAGTAAAAAAATTCCATCTCCCTCATGTCTGCTAAGTTTTTTAAAAACTAAAATTGTTGTCAATAAAAAAAAAGTCAACCCTGATAAAGCTCTTAAAATACTCACTACTTATTTATATTAAGTAATATATTATAATTTATTATAAAGTGATACTTACGTTATAAAAATATATAGATTAGACAAAAAAAAAAACTTATCTTTTCACATACATGTGGGCGAATGAATAAATCTAGGATTTTTTGTTGAATGACCGAATATCATTCGTATGATATTCAACTTCAACTACATTTATTGGAAATTATCTACACTTTACTAAAAAAAAAATCTTGTACAATTTATCATTTTTGAAAAAACAGTATGCAAAATTAGTTTTATTAAAAAAAATACTAGTTTAGATTTATTTACAATTGTAAATGCTTTTAAAATGGAATGAATACCTTATACCCCTATTATGTACCTAACTGCTTTTCAAATAGGAAAAAAAATGAACTAGACCGCCTCTTGGCTATAAAATGTAAGAACTTTGCAGCACAGCATCCACGTGTTTTCAATCAGAGCTAATATTGTCTGTAATACTGTATTTTGAACTAAAAATTTGGATTAATTGCAATAAAATAATTTTTAGAGTATTGAAGAAATACGATATGATAGAGTCACGGAGTTAAAAGAGATCAGAGAAAGTAAGAGACTGAATGATTGAGAGAGTTCAAATAACTTATCTATTTCCATAGTTAAATACATTATTTATAGTCGAACCTGGATTACAGTCCAAGGTCTCGCTAATCTAGGTTCAACTGTAGTTCAAATATAAAAAAAATTGCATTATATTCAAATCCATGCATTCATCTTAAAGGTATTCCTGTCATGATTCCGTTTAGCACTATCTTGGTTTAGTTCTGGATTCCTCGTTGCAGGGCGAAGGCCTACAGGAGCCCCACGTCGCGTAGCGCCGCGTCCACCGTCTCGTCCTATCACACCACACGCCACAAAAGGTATACGTCAAACTATACAGCGATAATCGCCATTTTTATGAAGTTTAGAAAACTTAGCAAACTCTTTGGGAATTAAAATAATCATAATATTACGTTAGTACTCGGTGGTAAAAGACTAAGAGTATAGTGTTGTTTTTTTTTAATAATATGTTAGAATTAATATAGACCTTAAGACCACACCGCAGAACTTTTGGGGAATTCCCGCGCAGCAAGATGACAACAGATTAGCAACATATTACAAGCGATATTTAAAAAAATGCATTAAATTAGCTGTTATAAAATTTAAATTTAGAACGCATCTTGCCACGCAAGCGACGGTTAGGAGCGGACACATGCAAGAAAACAGAAATTTTTAGTTATAAATCAATGTATTTCGACAACCCATTACAATAAATGCACGAACAGCACACAATAACAAAAGTAGAACACCGTATTACCTTTAACTTTACTTTTTATCTGCATGAAAAAAAACAATACAAATTAAAGAAAAATCTTCCAAGTAAAATCATTAAATTGAGCTAAAAAATTTATCATTTTTAACAGATATTATTTAAATATTATTAAGGTAAAAACTCCGTTATTCATATTGTATATGGTTTTAAAAAAAATGTTAAAAAAATTACATTTTTTTTTTGAAAATGACAAAAGGAAAAAGTCCCAAAAAAATCAGGTAAAACGGTGTCCACAATACATTATTCCGAAGTTCCAAAGCTACATGAATAAAAAGCATATAAATACATCCAACATCTTTACGGCTAGGACTAAACAATTCACAATATTACGATATTAATTAAAATTATTTCCATATTATTTTTTATCTTAAAATAAGTATATAAGAATCGTGTGTTGTTTAAGTGCATTATATAGATACATTTTTTATATGTAAAAGTAAAAAAAGGACATAAAAAAAAGCTGTGCAAAAACTATTGTCAGTGTCATGCGCAAGTTGTAAGCTTAAGCAAAATAAATCATAAAAAAAAGCATGACTGAAAGCATAAAGCATATATAAAAAAATGCATAAATAAAAAAAACAATAATAGGAATAAATAAGTATTAAAGAATATTTAATCTCAAATAAGGACGTCTATATAAGTGACTGGTAAATGGAGTAACCTTCAAATCAAACTAGTGTAGTACAAACTTGATCTGGCTATCGATTAAAAAAAATCATTGTAGTTATGACTCTACTCGAATAATATTGCATGTGAATGTTTAAAAATAAAGCAATAATTACGAAGTGAGCATTTAATACCATAGCTTATAATTTGGTGTATCCTTTAGTGCAATAATCCATCGTTCAGGTCCTGACAGTTCCCAGCATGCAGATCACAACAGAAACATAGGATAGTTAGCGGTGCGGTGCAAGGATAGTGGGGAAGAAGAACAAGTAGCGAAAATGTGAAAGTATAACCACATTCAGTCTTTAAATGGTAACTTAAAACGAGCCTTTGTGTAGATTCTATTACAATCTACACTAAAGGAACTCTGTGTAACCACTTAAAGACTCTGGCGGTAAATGTTTAATATTTTATTCTAATTTATAAACATTTTAACGTTATTTTAAAGTCTTAATTATATATTTTTTTCAATAAATAACCGAGTATAAATTCTAATTTTAACTTCATAATAAGCTCTAATTGAAGAGTTTACAAATTGATATGTGCTTAATATAATTAAATTAATCAATTTAAATGCTGTGCACATTAAATATATTTTTAAAAAATGATATATCTACTAATCAAAGGCACTACTCAGGCCTCTGTCCTATAAAATGGTCCGCATTACTTTTACATTCTACACATTGAAAAGACAAAGTAAATTATATTGACTAGACAATATCATCTTAATAAACTGGCCTTGGAAGAAAAAAAAAACATTTGGAAATGCATTATGATATAAACACTAACGTTATAGATTCCTAAAACTATGTAAATACAAGTTGTAAACCTTTAATATACTATTCAAATAACTTTTAAAATACCAATATTTATTACCCCACATGATTTACTAAGGCCATTTTAACCTCCTACGTAATTCAAAAAACTCTGCACCTAAAGTTAACATATTTAACTAAATGCATAGCGAATGCATTGTTCCAATAACAATAATATCAGATCCTCACGTATTACAATATTCAAACTTTATGGCAGCTTAATTATCTACAGGCAAGTTTGTCTGCAGATTGGCCCCACTGCAAGTGGACATGACTGTACATATAGTGTGCTTGCTCTACATTGTCTATGTAATTTCTCATAAAATAGTAAACAACCATAAAATTTGAATGGCAAAGTACCACAAGTTTACACAAGTTCATTATCTTGGCTACTGACCTCTTGCAGCAGATCCTGTGCAGCGATCGCCTTCAACACATTTTTCTTGCTAGTCTCCTGAAGCTCACCGCCAAGAACCAGCTCATCCAAGATGAAGTAAGCCTTCTCAAAATTGAAGATGATATCCAATTCACATACCTGTAAAGTATTGATAAGGGGATAGTTAAAGAATAAATTAAATTATGTTTTAGAAATGTTCTACAGATACAGAAACTGCTATCAAATATTTTACCATGAATTTTTTTATCTTAACCTCTTGTGTGTGAAGCGTCCCAATTTGGGACGCTCGAATTTTTTTCTTGTCTGTGGGGAGTCCTGTTTGGGACGAACACACTGCGTTGACAGTGTTTAGTTTTGCGCATATTTTGCGGTGTATATAGTGTTTACTCTTTTGCACTTAGGAAAATCGGAACCGTAAGTAATATTTAATCATCCTATTCTAGGACTCTCCACAGACAGGGAGACTCCTGTCTGAGAGCGTCCTGTATTGGGACTCACAGATGGGCTGATTTTGACATTTTGACAGTTAACATACCAAAGGTTAAGATTATGAAACAGCCAGTAACAGGATTGTGAATAAGGTGTGTTTCACTGTATTAAAAAAAAATGTTGTTTGTCACTGTTGAAGCACTTATATAAAAAAAATATTAACTAGTGTTGGTTAGTAAAACTCGCTGATACTTTCAAAATAATTTTCACAACTATACACAAATACTCACACTGCCAAAGTATTTATCAAGTAATTCCACATATCTGTGAATAAGTTCCAGAGTCAGAAGTTCATTATCCTCTTGCTCCATTGCACAACAGAAGTAAAGTGATGCATATCTAAAACATGATTATATTGTTTAATTGTTGGTAATAGAAAAGAGTCTAGTGGTAGATAGAGTGGACACGACCAGAGAGTGGAGTAGTGGGCCACTATCTAGCATAGAATTAAACATGAAAAATTTAAGAATTAGTGAAAATTATTATTTACCTCTTGTACACAACTTTGACATCTTTCCACTCAAGGAATGAGCACATTTTCGGCTTACGTGCAAGAACTGTTGTGATTAACTCTCTAGTTATTTTCTTCTTTAGTTTATCTGGGTGAGCGACGTACCATTTCTGTAGACGAAGCTTGCCTTGACGGCTGAACAGTAACATAAATTGCATCTGAAATATAATATACACAATGTATAATATTGGGAGAATATCAATAAAAATAATAAATGAAATTGTAAGGTTGTGTGTCAAAAGCACAACTATCACTTGACGTTACTGACTCAACCATGACGTCCAAAAGAATAGTTTGTGCAAGTGAAAATCCTTTGTCAACAAGTATTAATTAAGGTAAACTAGAAATCAAATATTCTTATAACTTTAAGAAAGTTAAATTCAAACTAAACTTATTACTGAGTCCATTTGTAAAAATTGAAACATCGATGCCGTGTAAGTTTACCCACCATTTTGTCTTTAAACAATCGTGTAGAAGACTTAAAGTATTAACTTTAGAGTAACAAAACCTTTTATGTAAACTATTAACACATGTTTTTATAAATTACAACATACAACTATTCTTAAGAAATCTAAATCTTTAGCTATATTGCTGACATTACTGAAAATGGCTACAAATTTGACATTGACACAAAATGTTAAAGACTATTTTTTTTATTTTATGACCTGGTAACATAGACCTTTTGGCTAAAGACTAAAGACAAAAAATATTCACAGAGTAAATATATTTGGTCTTTAGGCATGAAAGAGTAAGAAAATAGAGAGTTGAAGTAGAAAACAAAAAACTTTAAAACAAAGTTCAAAATTATTTTATTAGAATTATGAATAATAAATATATTCCTGATCTGGTACCAAGCGATTACCATCTTTTTTCGCATTTCAAAACTCTCTGAGTAATAAGAAATTGCCAAGAGATGATTGTAAAAAACGATTATTAGATTTAAAATTACAATGAATAATTGAAAAAAATATCTTAAATATTTAACGCAATAAAATAATTTCAAATAAGTTCTTGAAGGTCCCTCAAATATAACAGATTCCCTTCTCCCAAACCTGATATAAATATTGCTTATAGCAAAAAACGCATTTAATGTAGGAAAGTAAAATTAAAACAATGTTAAAATTAAGAATGGTATATAATGTTGCATTAAATATAAAATTAGGAATTAGATTAAATACTTAATTTTAATATCACACTTAAACAATCAATAATTTATAGAAGGTTTCATCGTTTGAAGTCATTGGCAAATTGCGGACTGAAGGGAGTTGTGTTGAACTGGAAATTGTTGCTATGATTTGCAACGGTATCCTTCTCCTGAAACAAAATAATAATTTTTTTCTCGTTAAATGGTATAAGAACGAATGAATGTTATATACATTTTCGTGATACATAAACATAACCTAAATATAAGACGGCCAACATTCACATCAACAGTCGGCATTGAGTGACGCACTGACCAAAGACCAAAATGTTTGCACTGTTTTTTATTTTCGACAAATCAGAGATAGCAATATATTTTAAACGGAGATTTTGGTCTCAGAAACCCGTTTTTTACGACAGTTTGTTCGAGTTTAAAATAGATATTAATACTTTGTTATTATCTTTGACAACATCGACGTCTCGCATCGAGCTGTTCTCTGGCGGGAAGTAATCCTCTCTGAACTGTGGCAGGTTTTCGATTCCAATCAGGTCTGAATCGTCCGAGTCGCCGCTGAAAGTAAATCGTTGTGTTAACACCGAATAATGCTATGTTATTACATTTACATAAAAAAAAACATTCGTCGTCGAAAGCTACAACGCTCAAGAGTCGTTCAAAGTTAGTTAAAAGAGTTAGTATATACTTGTGTCATTAAATCTCCTAAAAAGACAAAATAATAAATTAGACGACTCGTGAATGCGGTAGGAAGACTTTATATCTTAGTCAGATTAACTGTTTAAAGTTTAAGCAAAATAACTTCAGTTTGCAGTTTGCGTTGTGTTGTTACCTGATAGCATCGAAGTCGGGGGCTTTGATAGCCTCATTCCAGATAGGGTTGGAGCCTTCGGTGGCGTGCTTGTTAGTACCTGGCGCCGCCAGACCTGCGCGGTTCAGACCTGAATCTTGCGAGCCGTACTTTGTCATTGACAATGCTTCAAGACGACGTTTTAGCCTAAAATTGAATTACAATAATAGTTAATTGTTTGTTCGTGTTTTTTGCTTCTCAATAAATGCGAGTATCATCTTCTGCTTTTTCAATGATTCATACTTACGCACGACTCTTGACGAAGAATGTGATTAACAATACAAGGCATATCAATGCTAGAAGAGCGCAGAGTCCGGCTAGTACGTAGACCGCATTGCGGCCAGCGGCAGGCGTCAGTGTAGGACTGTCCCCGGTGACCAGGTCGCGAAGTACCAGCAGCTCCGTGTTCAGCGTCGTCTGCACCGTGCGCAGGAGTGTGGTGTCACTGCGCAATCTAGGAAAAACAAAACGGTTCATACATGGCGTATAGCTTGGAATGATCTTAATACTTGTATTCTATAGAGATTTAGAGATATGTATTTATGGTTATTAAATCTTCTGTTTTCATCTTGTTGGAACTAATCTGATTCAAACTTATTGTTTCCGCCATCACTTCACAATTCAAAAAAACAAAACTCAGCTAAAATTAAGACGACATTATAGTTTTTGCAACGTTATTAGTATCATGATATTGAGCAAAGCATACTGACTCCTCGATGACGTCAGTGGTGACAGGCGTGTTGTCTCGTATGAAATGCGCGCGCACCTCGGTGAGGTCGTCGAGAGCGACGCCGCTGCTCTCCGTGGCCGGCACCACTTGGTCCACGTTGCACGTCATGCTGAACCCTATGCTGAACGTTTGGGCTATCTAAAAGTAACAAACCCATTGAGAGAGAGATAAGAGAGAACGATTTGAATTCTAGGAATTGATGGTAAAGAAGAAAGAGAAGAGAAGAGATTTGGTGAGAAGAATTTTAAGCCTTTCTTTCACTTTCAAACTCCGCATTTCGATTAATCTAGTTGGTGCATCGTTCTCCTGTCAAACAAGGTGGAACATTTGCAATGGTGACGTGACATCTAATTTTACTTACAAAGTCTTTATGTTTCTCAATTTGCTCCAGAGTGTTGACGAAGATGAAGAACACTCTGTTCATCGATGAGATCAAATAGATCTTCACGTTCGCCGTATCCGTGGCTCCCTCTAGAAAGAATATGTTGAAGGCATTGTTACAAATATGTTACTCCAACTTTTATATCTACCGTATATTCTTTTTAAATCTTCTGTTAAAGCTCTTTACCAGTGTCTGTTGCTAATACTTGGAACTGGAACATGCCGTGCATGGAGGCTGTCGGTTGCATGTTCAGTGTCAGCACACCGCTCGTTGGGTTCAGCACGAATGCTGTGCCTCTCACTGCTTCCAGACTAGGATCCACTTGCATAGTTTCGTTCAGTATCGTATAGGTGATGGTGGCGCCCTCTGAATGTGTCGCCTATTGGGTAACAACTTATTAGCATTTCTTGCATTGTACCATTATCGTGCCATTGTCATTACTTAAATTAATCATTAATTTAAGATGAACTTAATATAGACTTACTTGTAAAGTGAGTAGTTCTCTATTGATAGTGTCTAAAGTTGAAATACCCGCAGTGTAAAGTGATCGCACGAAGATCGGTCGAGGATTCGCTTCTCTTACCTTCAAATTATGTAAAAAGTAAGATTAACTTTAAAAAAATATATATTTATTTTTAATTTTGTGAATAATCTAATTGAATAAAGGTCAGCTAAAATCAGACGATTACGGATTCTCTCTTACTGTAATAGAGACGGTGAGTGTAGAACCAGGAAGGATAGACCCTCCGGTTGGCGAGTTAGATGCGGCAACAAGCAGAGTGTGCTCGGCGCTTGTGTTGCGGTCTAACTCTCGCACCACGCGTAAGATGTTGTCTTGTGCGTTCAGCTGGAAGTGCCCTCCCTGGTTGCCATCTATGTGGAAATACAAGACTTTGTTACATCAGTCACATTTATTCGTACAGTATCTCTTGTTTAAATATGAACTTTCTAGATGGCGTTGTGATCGAAATAAATCGCGTTATGGTTTGCTCAAACGACAGTAGGCTAAAGGATCACTTTATAGTCGTATCGTATAGCATCTTAGCTACATCTGGATTAACAATTAATTATTATTATATTCTTACCGACAATCCTGTAATAAATAACGTGACAATCATCGGTACAGCGATAATTCTTCGGATCTTCTGCTAAGGGGAGCTGCTGACTTTCTTCCAAGCCTCCCTCTTTTTCTGCAAAGTAAAAGACAAGTAATTAGAAACAAGAATTAGTACAGATATCCTTTTAACTATTGCTTAACCTTTGTATCCAATTAAATTTTTCTTAATTAATTTTACGTACCAAAGAAAGTTGCATGCGCTGTACTAACAGAGAATACTGGCTCGCCCTGTGTGGGTACGAATATAATATTCAGCGTTGAGTCTGTGAACAACGGGCCTGGTTCTGTGCCGCCATCAGTAGCTCGGATAGACACCTGAAGTTCGAAATTATCAGTCACAATGTACATAGTAAGTCAACAGTCACAATCTTGAGTGTTATTGACATTTAGGTTACTTTAAAAAAACTTACTTGGAACTCTTTGGTGTCTTCGGTGAAGAGTTGCTTCAGCATCAACGTGCCTGTGTTCTCGCCGTCGTTCACCACATGGAAGTGATTCTCAGCTTCCGCTAGGGCGGTGTTAAAAATTATTTATATGCTCAAATGAGTTAAGTCTTGATTTCATTTCACGTGTACTCTCACGAAGCCTCAAGTCTTTGAAGCTACTTATGGCGCCCCAGAAGAAAAAAACAGTGTATCTAACTAAAGTTATGGACTAGCACTGTAAAGAGTGTTAAAATTTTAAACTGACCGTTCCCGACGACAGAGAAGGTGACAATGCCGGCGTGAAGTCCGTCTTCGTCGGTCGCTGTGACGCGATGCAGAAATTCTCCGTTCACCAGCACCAACATACCATTTACCATGGCTCGTTCCTGAAAACAAATTCAAAAATTAGTAATATAATACCCCTTAATTAATGAAAATTGAATGAAACAACATTATTTCTTGCATGTGGTGATTATGAGGGTTTTTTATATGACACTTACCCTCGCAAGTCTAACGGTGGTAGCATGCTGTGGGAATAAGAACACCGGCTCGTGGAAATTGTACGGTCTGATTACGAGGTCATAGTGCTCCTCTGAGCTTTGTTGCGGATGTCCATGGTCGTATGCCTGCAGAATAAATAATGCAAATTAATCTTGTCTTCTAAAATAGATCTCGTGAAAAAAAATGAAGTAGTTTAAATAAATTGATATCAAACTCACCAGTATATGAATGGAATACGTTCCCCAGTATCCCTTCAAGTCCATGGCGGTCTCCAGCTCGCCTGTGACGTTCTGTATCTGTATCATGTTGAAGAGTCGCGGCAGAGGCAGGTCACGGTTGGTGATCGTCAGGTTGAGGATGGCGTAGCCGACACGCGAGTTGTCGGTGTCAGGCTCGTCTCGGTCTGGCGCGTAGATGTCTGGTTCTAGGCGGACTCCCTGTAAAGAACGCTTCGTAT